TGTCCCTTCTCCATCCTCCTCTTCTTTGTTCCTCCCTTTTTTTTTTTCCCTTCCATAACATTGGGTCCGTACCTGACCATAAAATGCCAGGGTTCAGCCTTTTAGAACATATAGGAATTCAGGCCTGAAAGCTATAGACCAATCTCCAAACTTCCCCTTTTATCTAAAATCTTTGAAAATTGAGTCTTTGACAATTTTCAATCTGGTTTTTACCAAAAGCATAGCACAGCAGTACTAATGGTGTCTAAAGACATTCTTATGCATGCTGACAAAGGTGAAAGCTCCATCCTTATTCTTCTCGATCTGACTGCGGCCTTTGATACCATTGATCATGCCATTTTACTTGATAGATTACAGAACTGGGTTGGCATTTCTGGTACAGCTTTAAACGGGTTTCTGTTCTCCGTGTACATGCTTTTTCTGGGTCATTTGTTCAGCTGCTTCCAAGACGTGTCATACCACTGTTATGCTGATGATACACAGATCTACTTCTCTGCAAAACCTAGTAACCTGAATCAACTGTCCTCCCTCCATAAATGCTTAGTTGCCACCAAAGACAAGAAGTCTCTTAATTTTCTCCACCTAAATCCTGACAAAACTCAAATTTTATTTGGCCCTGAAAACTTTGTCACTGCAGTTTATCGGACCATTACGCACAAATATTAAACCCACTGCTTAGAATCTTGGTATGATCTTTGTCCAGTATATGACGTTTGACCTTCATTTTACAAAACTTGTCCAGTCCAGTTTTCTGCAGCTAAGCTTCTTGTCAAACTTCCTTAAACAATTTACAGTTAGTACAAAATGCAGCCACCAGACTTTTAACCAGAACCAGCCGTCAGTCCCACATTACTCCCTGTTTGCTTCCAGAAAATATGAACCAATAAACCTTGTTCTTATTTTATTGTTTAAAGACACACCACAAGACCAACAAATCAGACTGAGAAGTGACCAAACTTCCTCATCTTTACTGGCTCTCATGAGCAGCTGATATAAAGCAGTGCTTGGCTTGCCAGCCTTATTTCAGGGGAATTCCAAGACATCAAGAGAGCTATCCTTGATCTAATGGGTCTCCTGAGGATCACCGGAACACCACGCTGGGACCTGGCAACAGCCCCTTTGTCTATGTCCAGCAGCTGAAAGATGCGGCTTTGAGGTGGCTACAGCTGGGTGAATGCTGGAGCAGGTGATATTGTAACAGTTTGTGGAGGGGCTCCCAACCAGGACGTCAGAGTGGGTGCAGTGTCACTGTCCAGCAGATTTGGAGGCCACCATCACTGTAGCAGAGGATCATCTGGTTGTCCATTGCAGGAAGCAGGTCCTGGAGGGGCATCTACCCGACCAATACCGACACCCTGCAGTGAGCACCAACATACCGTCATGATTATCATTATTATTATTATTATTTCTGTCTGTGTTTATGTACACAAAGTTATTTTGTAAAACATTTATGGTTCCATCTAAAGGAGTTTTCATTATTACTGTGTTCTGTTGACTATATTTTAAACAGCACTAATGTTCAGCATGAATATAGAGTGATAGCTCCCTGTAATAATCCTGCTGACACACACAATGGATTTGGATTCAACAGGAAATGGAGTTTAGATATTTGCTTAAAGTAAAAGCACTGAAGGTCAATGAATTCCTGCTGCTGATGGCAGGATTTCAGTATATATACAGTATACAGGTATTCCACTGAAAATCCACTGAAAGACAACTTTTATTCTGCAGTGTGTCCGACCGACATAGAAATAGGAGTTTGCCTATGCCAACAATTAATAAAAACTGTTCTGTTGGACGGAAATGGAAATAAAAAGACAGCACGGTTGTCTCCAGTTTACACACGTTGTGCAGATAAATGGATACAACTAACTGAATGCATCCTTTTTCAAATATACAGTCACAACAGAGCAGCTTTTTTCCCTGAAGCATGAAGTGCTGTGCTCCTGCTTCAACCGGTATTATGCAAGGCATGTTCTGGGCCCCCATATACTCACTAACTGTACACTGACAATGAAGGACTACACTATTAAATGAACCTGAACTTGACCATTTCTTGACCATAATAAACCCTCCATTGAACGCATAGGTACTGACAGACACTGCCCCCAATAACTCATGGTTTAGTTGTGGGTTGTTATGTGGGGTTGTGATAGAGATTGTAAAATGGAAATGATACAGTAAAGCTGCCAAACAGAACTATAGCACTAATTCATCAAAATTTGGGAACAAATTATATCTTGTTCCCACAATTTCATCAAAACATGAGCGGATTGTATCTGAAGTCATACCTTCAAACAGCGCATGCACCCCATATAAAGGAATTGTGCTCTTGCCAAAGAGTGATTACAGCTCCTACCATGACACTGAAAGGTATTTTCTGCCTCAAAATAACGTCATCTTATTGAAGATTATAGCTCACCCATTAACATTTACCTGTTGAAATACCTTTTAAAGGGCCAATACAACCCATAAAATGCACTTTTACACTTGCCAGAAAAAGTGATTATAGCTCCTACTTTCTGACTAAAACAAGGTAGGTGTCTGCTTTTTTTCCACTTTATTTGACAGGACAGTTCGAGACATAGACATGAAAGGGGGAGAGAAACGGGGCGACATGTAGCAAGGACCCAGCCCCATCTCACAGAGCACCAGCACCACCAGGTGAGCAACCAGGTTGCCCTGCCCACCCTGCCTTTAGTACCAGTTGAAATCAGAATCAGAAACACTTTTATTGGTCAGGTGTGTGCACGCATACATTTAAATTTGACTCCGATTTTACATTGCTCTCAATGTGCAAACACCGACTGGGCATAAATAGACAGAACAACAAGCTCAACAAAATAAAAACAACAGAAAAGACAGTAGGCAATAGTGCAAAGGATGCTGAAATAAATATTTTACGTGTAGGTTTCTTTATGTACAAAAGGTAGGTTGATATGACAGTATATACAGTATATACAGTATGCACAGCACAGATGTATTTGAATTATTAGGGCCCGAGCACTGACCGTGCAAGGCTTTCCCATGCTTGAAAAACTCATAAGACGCGGCACACATGTCAGTCGTGGTGAAAAATTTTGGATTTTCTGGGGGTCCACTATGAGTAAGTCAAAATGGCCCCTCAGGGGCCCATAAACTGTGGCCGGCACGTGACGGGGCTGCAGCACACCCTGACGTGCACAGGTGTGAGGGCCCGTTCATCACTGCTTGCAGTTTTAATTGTATTCATGTTCTGAAAAGAAACCAAGGATAAATAAATAATAAATAGCTTCCAAGTTCAGTGGATGTTGGAGTCCTAGGGTCATCGTACAGGGCACTTAACTGTTGGTCAGTGTGATGGCCCGTGGGTAGAGACTGTTTCTGTGTCTGTTTGTTGTGGCGTACAGTGCTCTGTAGCTCCTACCAGAGGGGATGAGTTGGAACAGGTTGTGTCCAGGTTTAGATAGCTCTGCAGTGATGTTTCCTGCCCATTTCCTGTCTCTGGACAAGTAAAGGTCTTGAATGGGGGGCAGGTTGGCACCAATGATCCTCACTGCAGTCCTGACTGTCCGCTGTAGTCTGTTCCTGTCCTGTTTGGTGGCCGAACCAAACTAGACAGTGATGGATGAACAGAAACAGACTGAATGATGGCACTGTAGAACTGGATCAGCAGTTCCTGAGGCAAGTTGAGCTTCCTGAGCGTGCGCAGGAAATACCACCTCTGTTGCGCCTTCTTGATGATGGTGTCTGTGTTGGGCTCCCACTTAAGGTCCTGGTAGATTGTGGATCCCAAAAACATGAAGGTTTCCACAGCAGACACAGGGCTGTTGAGGATGGTGATTTGGGGCAGAATTAGGGGGCTCCTCCTAGAGTCCACTGTCATCTCCACAGTTTTGAGCGTGTTAAGCTCCACACCAGAAGGCCAGCTGTTCAACCTCCCGTCTGCATGCACTCTCGTCACCGTCCCAGATGAGGGCGACGCCTGTTGTGTCGTCTGTGAACTTCAGGAGATTGACAGACTTATCTCTTGAGGTGCAGTCATAGGTGTAGAGGGAGAAGAGCAGTGGGGAGAGCACACATCCCAGGGGGGCACCAACATTCCTTTAAAATCAAATATATTGTCATTGGTATGATTTTTCACGTGTTTAAAGGAAAAACAGACTTAAATTGTGCATGAATAGCGAATAAGTCATCAGTGTATGTAGTTCAGCGGGTATTTTAACACATAAGCGCTATAAATTGAAACCTAAAACAATGTTTAAAGATATTCAATAATTATTATATTATATTTTAGGTCATATAATCCAATCTCTGAAACTAAACTCCCAAGCCACTCTGAGATAACGGATTGGGTAACAATGATCCTTTTAGTCATAGTTATTTTAGACATAACCATCAACTAAACACATGAACATAAAGTGCTAGCCCTGTGGAAGAAAACAGGACTGTCCCCACATTTATAGCACAAACAAAACGTCACCAAAGTGATGAAGACCAAACACTGACATTTGGTGGACAGACTGTGTTGTGTATCTGTAAGTAACAACAGAAAATGAGAAGGCACAGAGCAGAGGTGAGAAACCAACAACTACTGCCTTCCACTGTGAGTGAGTCTTGGGCTGACAGCCAGATGCTTCGCAATGGGAGCACAATGCACACTTTTACTTTCTCTGGCATTAATGCTTTTCTTCGTCATCTGTGAGGTGATGACATCAGATTTCCACACAGTCGAAAAAGCCGTAATGAACATTGACTGACAACATTTTGAACAGGTGTAGTGGGGAATATATAGAACAGAAATAGGCTCAAACATACGGTTTACAACGGATAAACCCAACTCTTCTTTAAAAACACAGATGCAACTGTTCACATGTTCAACAATAGTAGTTTCATTCCTCATGTAAATATTTTGAGCCAGGAGCAGGTCTCGTATGTAAATCACGTGGTTCCTTTTGTTCTTTCATCCAGATTACTACAACCCCTGTGAAGAAGGTACTGTAATATGTAATGTACAGCACTAAAGTATTCTCTGAAGTCACCGGAGCAATACTCACTGAACTGAGAAAACACAGCCTGAGAGAGGCAGCGATTCTTAGAATATTAGTTTCAGCTGTTAAGATACGGAGCAACTTTGAGGTAAGGACAATGTGGCAAAGTCTGGACTATTTAATGAGTTATAAATTATAGCTGCAGATGGTTTTACAAATCTGTGTATGAAATGTATTCAAGCTCAAATCATCCACTGTGCAGGCTTTCTCTGACTGTATAATGCTGATTTTATCTTGCATATATATCTTACTTTGATTTAATATTAATAACGCTTGCTAGCGGCAGCATTGCAGTCCATGTACACAATCAACACATTGTAGCCTGTAGATATTACAATATTACCCTGATTTAACAAACAAATGGAATGTTTATGGACCATTTGAACTAACTGGATAATGTATATTTTAAGACAATATTTGGAACTAGTAGCAGAGAGAATACGACAAGATCCCAAAGTTACAGGTGTCAGTGTTGGCAGGCATCAGTGTAAACTAAATATATTTGCTTTTGAGGTTTATCATTAGGTAAATATATAAAACTGGAACAATTTCTACTGATAAAATAATATGTTGAATGAAAAGGAAGGCATTACATCCTGTAAAGTTGAAGGGGTCATTTAATGTGTCAAATCTGAAATTCTAAATTAGTGTGCCACTCAAGCATTAAACTTAATTAAAACATCATAGAAGAGCAATGGATTCATGTAAGAACTGAACAAATCTATCCTTAAAACCATTTTTCATATAAATATATATATATATATATATATATATATATATATATATATATTCTGAAAGGGTAAAAAGAGTAAGAACATCAGTTCTGTCAACTATATATTAGGAACTTACTGTATGGAACAATCCTCATTAATTTGGATATATATATGAATTATATTTGATTCAGAAACAGATAATAAATGACCACGTAAACTTAACAAAATCCTGCAGAAATCATATTCTGTTTTAACACCATGTTAAAATCAGGAATAATTTTGGAACTAAGATTTAAGGAGGACTGATCAGATAGAGGGAAAGTTGGAAGTTAACAAGATGTCATAGTCAATGAAACTGTGCTCTTAAAACAATGTACAAGAGATAAAGTTTGTACATATGACAGAAATATGTCAGGAAACTCTCTTATATGTGAATTCATTGATTCATGCTTTTTTGGGATTGTTGCAAAATTCAGAAGATTTGATTTAAAATAGATAACTGGTTAATAGTGATATTAAGGGTGAAATGTCATTTTTAAAGATCAATTTGTGAATTTCAAGATATATTACAGGATACAGTGAGGAGTTGGATTATTCTTTTTGTCGAAATCATAGAGAGGTATTACAAGCAATGATAAAAAGGCCTTTCCCATTTCCCAGTTTGTACATCCTTGATTCCTTTCCTCGCCTCCTCTCTTAGTCCCCCACCTGAGATGAGAGCGGAGGAAGCGAGGAGAGACACAGAGGAGAACATTTTTATTCATTTTCATGAGTTATTATATGTTTACTTTGAATTCAATTGACAAAGTGCTGCTTAGTTATTAGTTCAGTCAGGACCAATAAAGCTGCTCTTTCACTATACATCTATTGCACTATTGTATATAAAAATAATAGTCTTTCATTGTGTTCTATAATTTCAGAACTTTAAGAAATATCACACAACAGTTCCTAACGTGTCATATGTCGACAGTTTTCTTGTCAATTGGGCATCAATATAATCCATAAAGAAACACTTTTCTTTTTTAAGACTTTGTTTATTGTTTTCTTATACAACATTTGTAAAACAGCATTGGCTGCAAACAGTAAAGAGAAATATGAAATAAAAAAGTCAAAAAGACTTTGATAGTTGCATGTAGCAGTATATTGTTCCTGGATACGTGAATATATATTACTGGCGGACAATAACCACAACAATAACAGAAAAAACAGCTGAACTGTACAAAGGTTACATGGAGGTTATTCACACTCAAGAGATTTTAAAAAAAGAAGGAAATAAAAGTAAAAAATTAGAATCAGGTTAAAGATTTTTTCTCCTCTACTGGCTGCAGCCTCCGTTGTAAATGGGAGAAGACTGCTACTCAAACAGATATGGCCAGAAGGTCTGATCATCTTAAATAACTAATACAGTTTATCAATACATCTGTAGAGTTCTCCCCCCATGCTTTGTATATTCCAGCTGTATGCCTCTTTTATGCATCACGGGTGCTTAAAAACATTAAAAGACTTTTTCCTCATTCCTGTGTCACTGGCAGGAGGACGGAGGAGAGAGGAGACGAGGAGGCACAAATGAGAGAAATGAGATAGGCCCTTTGACTTTAAACCTGGTTTCATGTTGTTGTTGTTTTGTTTTAGAGTGTAGGACAGATGGACAATAGGGACACTGTGAGCATGATAATAGTGTGGTTAGAATATGTGATGATGATGATGATGATAAGTCCGTGATAATAGATGGGTGTACTTCATAGAGATACATTGTATCCAAGATCTGTATGTTACTTATACATACAGTATGTTTGTATTTATTCACATTTCACACATTGATCAGGTTTGAAGACGGTGAGGTTGAGCTTATTTGTTTTATATGTGGGTAAATGTGTGTTGTCCTGTCTTGTTTGGCCTTGTCACAATTGTGGGTCTTTGTTTTGTTGCTGCAGGACGTGTATATGATGTAGATTGTATATATGGGGAAATCTAAAATGTAAAATATTTTAAATAAAATAAAACAGATGTCAGGCTTATAAAATATGATAACAGGATATCAAATTGTACAAATTAAATCCACCTCAGCTGTCACAATGATAATATTACATAATATAAAACTCACAGGGGCAATTTTTCCACATTATGCTTACCTTTACTTTTTACACTTTTAGATAATACTTAGATATTTTTGTTTCAGTGTCATTTTCAATGTGGCAACTTTTACGTAATGCCTGCCACCACAGAAAATAACATAAACATACCTACTGATCAATTCAAGGTGGAAGCAAGCTGTCTGTTTGTCCATCATGAAAGAGACGGCAGCAATAATGATCGTCTTATCAGGTAAGTACGAGTCATTTGTTTCCACAAACCTCTGAAATATAAATGTTTCACATTCATTTACCGTGAACTCGTCACAGAAAAGTTGAGTTGCTTGAATTGAAATACGTAAAATAAGAATCTAAAGTGAAAAAATGGGCTTTTTAAATTGGTTTGGTGCAACTTGTACAACTTTTGGTGAGTATGAGACAAAGTCTGAAGGTCAAAGGCCTTGCCCATTATTTGTGCATGCTTCTCTTGTATTTACCATATTGTTTACGCACGTCACATTTAATGAGTTACTCTGTTATATGCCACACACTCAGTTGTGTTTTTTAGGGGTCCAACTGTATAAAGTGAGTTGGTATTACTGAATGCATCAATTATCAGTCTTTGTCATTACCACAGGACTGTGTCTTCTAGCTTCCTGTTTTCCTCGTCTCTACATCCTTGTGGAAAAGCCATCGACCTGGGATAAAGCTCAGAGCTACTGCAGGGAAAAGTACACCGACCTGGCCTCTGTGCATAATGAGCGAGACTTGGCTAAGCTCAATACACTTATAGAAAATAATTCCAGCGTCTGGATCGGACTGAAACCTGTCACTAAGGCATGGACGTGGTCTCTGCAAAACCAGAGTTACTATGGTGACGGAGAGGCTGATTTCAGGGTGTGGGCTGTTGGTGAACCCAGTGCACCTCAATACTACACACTTTGTGTGTCTATGGGGGGTGACGGGCATTGGAAAGATGAGTTGTGTGAAGCAAAGTTCACCTTCCTCTGCTGCAACAAAAGTAAGATATAGCCTCTTAAATTGAGGTGATGAATGAACAACAACGATGTGTTAATTACTTGGTCAGTAGCCCATTTTGAACTATGACGCTGTAGGTTCCCCTCTAGCGTCTTCTCTGGACGTACTGGGTTCTACGGTCAAGTTAGCAATAACGAATGGTTATTGACTCACAAAGTAAAGCTTGCTGAGAAAGATTTGACATTTTATGAGTTTACTCCGTTGCAGTTTGGTTAGGTTCAGGCACAGAAACAGCTTTGTTAGGTTAAGGAAACAAATGGTTTGGGTGCAAATAAGTATGTTATGTAACCATAACATAACAGTCTCCTTAGTTAAAGTCATAGGCAGCGCTATTAAGAGGCTAGAAAGAATTAAGACACTTCATCAGCCACTTTGCTTAGCTATAGTGCTGTCAGTATCACACTGATCTTAGTTCAGTAGCAGATCTGCCATTCACTACCCACACAGTGGTATTCAGCATAGGCTAATAAGACTGTCACTGGCCTGAGATCAGTGGCGAAGCTTCTGTGTCACACGGCACGTCACATATTATTATTTTATTATTATTTGGAAACAGTGCTGACTTTGCCACCATAGTTTCTCATACACACAGCCCATTCTCCTTCCCAGGTTGTCAAATACATAAGCAAGAGGCGTTCAGGCGGAGTTGCAAGCTGCAGCTTCTCTGCTAGATGCCACTAAGTCCTACACACTGGTCTTTTAAGTGCAACACTCTGAAACTTTTAATCAATATTTTCATACACGGTAGGCGCAGAGAACACTTCATCAAGCTTCATCTTTGTGAATGAGTCCAAGACCTGGAAGGCGGCTCAGAGCTACTGCAGGCAGCACTACACTGACCTGGCCAGTGTGAGGAACCAATCTGAGAATGACCTGATGAAGGACAAAGTGCCAAGTGGACATCAAATGTGGATCGGCCTCTACAGAGACACATGGAGCTGGTCAGATGGGAGCGTACATTCTTTCACTAACTGGGCTCCCAGTTCACCATCCATCTCAACTGAACACTCTTGTGCCTTTTCAAAGTTGGGCAAATGGTATAATCTTAACTGCAGCATCGAGCTGAACTTTGTATGTTACACTGGTGAGATTGATTTGCATACTCTACTCTAACAAGTCAATATTCATAGCCACACTGTAATTATTATCTTACATTGTTAGATTGTTGTGTGTGATTGTTAATCTCACATCTGCAACATGAAAATGTTTCTATTCCCTTGTATGAAACAGCTCCTGCAATGAAGAGGCAGGTGGTGAAGGTGGTGCTGAAGAAAAAACACGGCCCCTCTGTGGACATGGACAAGCTGAAGGAAGACATCTTGGAAGGGGTAAAGATGTTTGAGTCAAAAGCAAAAATGTGGCATAAATAATTTAACGTTTCATCAGTTTAAGTTGGTACAAATTTTTTCATCATGAAAAGGATGGTTGAGTGGGGGCTCAAACACCAGAGAGCAAATAGTTGCATTGACCTGTACTGTATTCTTAGCCGCACTAGCTGCGTCTTGTTCATATCCCCATAAGGATGATTTGTAAGAAAACAAGTACTTCATTGTTTTCATATTCAATATCCAAAATAAATTAGTTGTGCACACGTCACTCAGAAATATTAGGTGAGATGCTGAATCTCTAGATCAGTCATTCCCAAACTGTGGTCTGTGGAAAAGCAAAATAAAATATAAAATAATAGTTTTTTAACCTTTATTTTAATAAATGTGATAATAGCTTTCCCCTTGAACTAAGCCTACTAGGCTTATAGGCCCACTGGGCTTACTTTGAACTTATTCTCTTTCTCTGTCTCTCTCTCTCCCCCTCTCCCTCTCTCTCTCTCTCTCTTGCTCTCAGGCAGACAGACAGAGAATGTTCTTATTACTGTAACGTTATAGATTTATAATACTACATTGTTAAGGTAATAAGCTGTTCAGATGAACCTGATTATGCCATCGGGCGCTTGAGTAAATAAATAAATTAAATATGTGGCAGCCGTTGTGTGCAGTAAACTTCTTTTAACATGCCTGTTGTATAGGAAAGTCATATTTCCGCCTGTGCCCTATTTTCGCCCTTTTACGAGTATTCATTTCATTTCATTTCTGAATACATAAGTGTATCTAAATTAGCTATGTACAGTGACTTGAAGAGCTGTAAACAGTGTTGTAAGGCTGCGTTTACAAAACAGCTCGGAGCTCCAGTGGAATTTTTATTTCACGACGAGAATTCTCGGTCTAACCGGAGTGAGTGGGCGGAAATAGGGCACCCACCAGCCCAGCACCAAACTCCGAGCATGGTAAACAAAATCCGTTTTTTCAGGCAGTAAAAGCTCCCGTTTAGAACCAACCCAGATTTTGTTCAAATCTACACACTGAAATATGTAAGGTTCATTTATCAAATGTTATTTTGAAGTATTAAAAAACATCTTTGTTTTAGAATTTTCGAATGAAAGGGGCGGATATTGGTGTTTTTACGATACTTATGCGATGACCAGTTATAGTTTTAGTGCTAGTAGGCCTATTAAGAGGTGCGGATTAATTCAGGTAGGACTGTGTGTAGACATTTTATTATGTGTATTATGAGGTGGTCCGCGAAAACTCTTGATTACAAATAGTGGTCCACACACACAAAAAGTTTGAAAACCCCTGCTCTAGATGATGCCTGTTAAATTCTTGTGGAAAAAGCGGTAATAAATCTGAACGTGTCAGAACAAGCAGCAAGGAGACTGAACATTTCATTCTCTCTTGCTCCTCTTCCTCTGTTTCATTCCTCCACTATCACTGTCTGAATCTGCCCATGTTTTTCCCGACGGAGTCATAATAGTCCTGTTTGGAGCCATTAGAAAATCAGCTGGCACATTCCGGCAGTATTCCCTGCTAGGTCCCCCCGCTCCACTCCTACTAGTAACTCCCCCTGTCCTTCGAGCTCCCAGTCCAGGTACAGTCAGCTAACAGGACTGCTAACTAGCTACACGCTGGCAGAAGTTGAAAAGGTGTAAATGTGAAAAGACGCATGCGCAATCCTTTCTCCTCACTTTGGAAATCATCAATTATCTGCTACAATCTTCGTTGTAAAGACTTGTTTTCTCTCATACTAGTGGAATCTGACTACAGAGTCATTCAGCCAGGACCACTTTTGTCAAAAGAACTTTATTTCCAAAGCATGTGTTACATTTGACGGTATGGCTCTGTTTCTGGGAACTCCTTGCCTTTCCATGTGCCTATGTGGAAAACCTTAAGGCAGGGAGAGCACACCTTTCCAATAGGCAGCTTAGGAAGAATCAGCTGATGTGTGTTTACCACTCGCTGTGATCAGCTGATGTAGCTGGAATTGAGAGCTGAGCTTGACTTTGTGACCTGCCTGAACTAACGCTGTGCTTAATTTTTGGTTTTGTGTGTCCAAATTTTAAAATATTTATCCTTTATATTCTGCCACCTCAGTACAAAAGAGGTGAATGGAATTTCATTTGTAGTGTTAACACCATTCAAAATGACAACAGTAACATCTCCAGAATCAGTTCTGTTGTTATTCCGGATAATCAACACAACATTCTGCCAGCAGTTTCTATAGGAACTGTTCGTCTGGTAGAAAGTGGACAGAAACAGAAAGACAGCAAGGATTTCAATCTTTCAAGCAACTGAATACATTGTGAAACTGTCATTTGCATGAACTGACCATTTAAGATAATGGGAGAATAAAAAAAGAATATTTGTGTTCCTCAGTTTAACAAGAGACTCAAGGATCGTGGCCTGAATGAAGACGTTGAGCTGAGATGGGTGAAGCAGCCTGATGGGAAGATCTTCCACAAGGAAGAAAAAGAGAAGATGGAGGAGAAGAGTTGTGACAGGGATACTAACAAATTATTGAAGTGAATGGACAAATGCAATTAAATTCACAAAAGATGATTGATTTTTGATCCTGTATAGCTAAGCTTGTGTTTTTCATGCTATTACACTCCATTCAATTTAGATGCACTGACACATTAAGTTGTAGGATCAGCTTCTAATATTGTAACACACACACACACACACACACACACACACACACACACACACACACACACACACACACACACATGCACACACACAGGGTTTAATTGATAACTGCATTAATCACTGCTTCAATGTGTTTGTCTTGGTTTTATTTCCATGGTTATTCTGCATTACTCTTTAATGTGAGTCACTTGTGCTCATTAGTGTAGTGATATATAATGATTATGATAATGATTACAATGGTTATGATCATTAAGAAAGTAAAATGTATGGAGGCTGTAACTACAGATTAATAAAACAATGATAAAATAATACCTGTAAACTGTATTTTGTCCTGGTGACTTTTGGTGTTAGCCATCAAATTACACCATCAAATTGCACTGATTGGTAGAATTTAGTTTTTAAGGATTTCAGTGGGAAATTTAGTGCCAAATTGATGATAATCTTTATTTCCATCTGAATGATGGAGTTGGTATAAACAGTAAAAGTCTGCTTTGAAATTGAACGTGTTCTTACATCAACAGTTAATGGTCAAAGCGTTCTGATAAATGGTTCTTTCTTCTCTCAACATGAGTTCAACTTCATGATAAATTCACAAAGAGCTTAAAATTTGGATCATTCTTCTAATACTTTAAATAGTTTGGATGTCATAAAATGACAAGAAATCAGATATCAAGACGTCAGAACTGTGTTTGCGGGGTGTGGTGGTGTGGTGGTGTAGCAGGTCTGTGAGGTAGGAGGGGGCCTAGTTCTGGAGGGCTTTGTGAGTGAGGAGAAGGACTTTGGATCCGTTGTTGTACAGGGTGCCAGTGGATGTTCTGGAGGACGGGTGATGTGGTCACAGGAGCGGGTATGGGTGAGCAGACGAGCAGCACAGTTCCGGAAGTACTGTAGTTTATTAAGGACTTTGGAAGATGTACCAAATAAGATGCTGTTACAATAGTCAATTCTGGATGTGTTGAAAGTGTGGATGAAGGTCTCAGCAGCAGAAGAGGAGCTAGGCGGAGATGAGCAGTGTTTTTCAGGTGGAAAAAGGCAGTTGATGTGGTGTTCAAATGAGAGGTTGCTGTTGAAAATGACTCAGAGGTTGCAGATGAGTGAAAAGTTATGAATGCTCTGCACACATCCAGACCTGACAAATACAGAGATGGCTTCTTTTAGGTCACTGGTGCTCAGATATCTATCAATTATGGCCTCAGAGAAGGTTTCTATCTCCTCAGTGATTGAAGATTCAACAGGAGAGAGAGTGGGGCCTTCATTCACTGTGAGCTAAGACCTGGAGGCTGCATCCTTTGTCTGAGGAACCCTGCAGCCAGCTGTCAGGAGAAGTTGTCAGTGCTCTTTACTTTCATACAGATCTGATCAGTGTCACTGCTTTCAGACAGCAGGTTTCTCTGTCTCAGATCCACTGTGGCCATCAGCATGAAGGAAACCTGGATGATGTCTTCCCTTCCTTTATTATTCTGTCAAAGTACGAGACCATGACCCACTTTGCTGTGACCAACTTGCCTATGAAGAAGAAGAGCTCACACAGCACTCCAGAGACTCTTCATCATGGTAGCTTTAAAGTCTCTGGACACAGCTGTTGCACAACAGACTACCTTAAAATCTTTGACTTGAAGAGATCCCTGATAAACTTGATGTTTACTGAGCAACAGGAAGCTTTGGGATCATTCAACTCTTCCTTTAAGCGTTCCAGTTCTTCTTCCTGTTGACATACAAGGAAACATACACTTAGCTATTCTTTTGGAAAGTTATTAAGATTATTAAGATGATTTTATTTCTAAATATTGTTTTGGGGGCTTTTCCCCTTTATTAGATAGTGACAGCTGAAGATAGACAGGAAGGGGGGTCGAGAAGGGGGGTGACACGCAGCAAAGGGCCAAACCACGATAAATATGTGCTGCTTTGTTTCCTCAGTCTGGTCATGTTAAGTGAAGGAAAAGAGGACACGATTTGCAGCCAGTCACAGATGTCTCACTTTGTAAGACAGCAGCATGTTAGCATACAACATGGATGAGTTTGGTCTCAACTTGGCGCTCTCAAAGATAAGGTTGATGACGGTGTTTAACCACTGTCAGCTCTTTCAGCTGAAATCTCAAATCCCAAAATGTTTCAGGATTCAGCCCATTGAAGATGCTTTTCACACAGCTGAAGAGCTCTTTGGGTTTTGACCTGCTGGTCCTCTACCATACAGGGCAGAGCTGCAGGTTCTTCAGGGGGGGTTCCTTTCCTCCCCCCCCCCCAAAAATTATAAACCCCCGGGCCCCCCCTCGGTTTAAATTTTTTTTCCCCCCCCCCCCAAAAAAAAATGATGCACTGTGTGTTTTGCCCCCTTTTTTTTAAAACAAAAAAAAAATTTTTTTAAATTTTTTATAATAAAGCACCCGTTTTTTGGGGGGACCCCCCCACCCAACCCCCCCCCGAAACCCCCCCCCCCCCCCCCCCTTCTTCCCTTTTCCCCCTTTCTTTTTCTTCCCCCCCTTTTTATTGAAAACAACCCCCCCACCCCGGCCCCCCCCCCCCCCCCCGCCCCCCCACCTTAAAAATTTCCCCCTTCCCAAGGCGCCCACCCCCCCCCCCCCCCCCCCCCTTTTCCCTTTTTCAAAAAAAAAAAAAAAATTCTCCCCCTCTCCTATTTCCCCCCCCCCCCCAAAAACAAAAAAAAAAAAAAAAAAAATAATATTTTATAAAATTTTTTATGGGAGGCTGTCTCTGTTTGGGTCTCTTCTTTATCCTCCTGGTGTTGGTGGGATGATCAGCAGCCCCTTCTTTGGAAGACGCTGGACAGTCTTTTAAAACAGCCAGCTTACTCTGTGCTGTTTCTTTATTCTACCCTACTGTCAATAAAAATCCTAAAAGGAACCTTAACTTCCAGTTGCACTTTGATGGAAGCTGAATCCACAAAAACTCAGTTTGATTGAGCCCTTTGTTATTCCTCCTCCTCATCACTTAGAGATGCTTTTCATTGCCTTAACACTACATCAATCATACTTTTCATTTGTCAAGTTGAAAAATTAGTTTTGCAGAAATGTTAAAAATAAACATTCAGTTTAGCATTAATAAAATAAGCAGAATTGTGGTTCCCCAAAAACATACACTAAAATGCAGGGTAGCTACATAAGACAACAGAAATAAGACAAGATAACATTGATCATTAAGATTAGAAAACTGCTTTAAACTTTTTAAACTTTTATTTCAACCTTGCTGTTGACTAAAGGAATTATTTTTAAATGGAGAATATCAGCAGGAGAATCTGGCACCATGGACATTGAGTTAAGATTTTCTAATCACATTGAATTGAATATATGAAATATTATATATTAAAAATATTTTGTGTGTAAAAACCTGTAAAGCTCTTCTTCTCTTCTTATACTTTGTTAAGTGAGATGACAGGCGATTGCCTCAGAAACTATTTTGAGGTGTGACTTCCTGTAAATAAAGACAAGCTGAACCCGACTACATTAACTTGTGCTGCAGAGCCAATGCTCTACAACTTTCCAGTTTTCTTATGAGCGATGGAGGAAATCTATGAGAATGTTAAATATGACAACTGTGCTGACTTAAGAGCATCCCAGAATCAGAGAGGTAAGAATAATGATTCAGACAGAGAGGCTGACAGACTGAGCTCTGCAGAAATGTGTATTATTACCTGTCATTAATGCTGTTGTATCATTTACTGTATTCACCGGTCTTTTCTGTGTTCAGGTCCCAGGAGCTCAGAGAGGAGATTTCATGGATCTGTTGTTCTCTGTCTGGGTCTGCTCACTGTTCTCCTGCTGGTTGGACTCATCGGCCTCAGTGTCCACTGTGAGTGTCTTTATTTGATTTACTGTTTGTTTAAGGCATATCGTATATTTTCATTGTCATTTTGAAGACATAAGAGCAGTGGCATAACTTTACTGCTGAAAGTCACACTGATTTATGTTTGTGATCTTCCAGTAGGTATCTGGTGTTTCAGAGAAGTGTTTGTTGATTATTTCAGACCATGTCTCCGCTCAGCGTTCAGCTGCAGAACTCTCCTCTATCAAAGCCAACCTGACTGAGCGTCTTCAGGCCAGTGACAACAAGTCCTCTTCCCTGACTGAAGAGAGAGACCTGCTGAATGCCAGAATCACTGAAATGACTGAAGAGCTGGAAAGACTTCAGAGTTTGTCCAAACAGGGTGAGTCCTTGCATGAAGTATTTAGATGCACTTGCTACTCAGAAATCCATTTTGGTAAGGTCTACTACTTCTCTCTCTATTAGAAGCGAGTTTCAGGCCAAAATGAAACCTTTTATAAATCAAACCTAAAATGTATGATAACAGTATATTTGTATGGATCACTGGCAAAAGTGTGGCCTCTAACAAGGTTACACCAACCAAATGAGCATAATTATAGGGGCATTAAAGGGTCATTTATTGAAAATGGCATCTACAGAGAAACAAATACATTGAAATGAGTCTTGTGGGTCTGTAATGTGTCTGTATGTTTATCTTACAGTGAAAACCTGTCCTGAAGGATGGAAGATGTTTAATTACATCTGTTATCTCCTCTCCACTGAGTCTGGTACCTGGGATAAAGCCAGAGAGGACTGCAGAAACAGAGGAGCAGATCTGGTGGTGATAGACAGCGAGGAAGAGGAGGTACAGTGTGTGTGTTATTATATTATTGTGTTAATGTCGCAATTCATACATATTAGACAATACTTAACTTACATTGCTTTGCTCCTCGATGGATTGATAGATTGTGATAAACAAATGCGTAAAAGGTGATCATCTGTTAATGACTTTGACTGACGCTTTTATGTCCAGCACAGTCCAGTTGATGAATGACTAGAGAGGTCACGTGTGTCGTATAATAAACTACGCTATAGTAACAAAATAGGATAAGTGACAACCGAAAGCAAAGACAGAAAATAAACTTTAACTTTAACTGACAAATGAACAAGTAACTAAAGTTAAGACCCACTGAAGAACTATTTTGGCTCTTGGCATCCCAAAACTGTGTGTACTGTGCACAGCTGGTGCTAATGATACTATTAACGGGTGTCAATCAATACATATTCAAACCTGCAGTAACAATTGCTCTATTTCACTGTGGACAACATTAAAATAAACATCAAGAAGTCTCCATTTAAACCCTTTCTATTTGTTTCTTTATCTAGGACCTAGACTCTAGGTGATGTTTATAGTGATTAGTTTCCAATATTTTTTATGTAATAACATAACATCTTTATGTTGAACAGATGTTTCTTTTTGGGCTCGCCAAGAAACAAACTTGGATTGGCTTGACTGACAGAGAAGAGGAAGGGACCTGGAAATGGATAGATGGAACTCCACTGACTCTGAAGTAAGGCTGCTGAATATCAAAAATAACTTATACACCCACCAATATTTTATATTACTAGAATGTATTTGATGCTGTGCATGCATAAATAACCTCACTGGTTGCTGTAGACTTCAGTGGATGAAGCCAGGAGAGACACATCTGGGCTTGTGTTTGTAGTTGTATGTGAAAGTTTGGCCACCCCTTGACAGATCACACATTTTTTTTCATTGAAAAGTGTAAACACAGCCTCTCAAGGGTGTGGAACATTATAGAACATATAACATTTATGCATTGTTTCATTTTATTTCATAAATTGAAAAAAAAAAAAAAAAAAAAAATTGTGGCATGTTTGGGCAACCTACACTGTCAGTACCACTGTGAGTCTACTTCTGCAGTATTCTTGTGTCTTGCATGCACAGTCTTTTAAGATGATATTTAAGTTGGGGGACTGTGAGGGCCATTCTAAAATCTTTAGGCTGCGTCTCTTGAAGTAGTCCATGGTGGGTTTAGAGCTGTGTTTAGGATCATTATCCTGCTGTAAAAGCTTTCCTCTTTTCAGCTTCAGCTTTGTTTTACAGATGCTGTAATGTTTGCTTCCATTTAGTGGAATCAAATCTTCCCTCTACCCATGCAATATTTCCTGTGCCACTAGCTCCAACACAACCCCAAAGCATGATGGATCCACCCCCATGCTTAACAGTTTGGGGGTGTTCTTTTTATGAAATGCTGCTCCTTTTTTTCTCCAGACATACCTTTACTGATTGTGGTCCCTGGTTAGTCCATTCCAATCCCATAACTCAGTGGCATTTAGGATATTGAATGTCAGATCCCTGGCAAATCATTTTCTGTAATGATTTTATTCTAACTTAGATTTCTTTATGTTAACTGAGACTTAAGCCCTGGTGATTGTGTCGCATTAAATGAAGCATGCTGTCCTAGTTTTTAATTATTTTCAGGATCTCAGGGCAAGGAGGTGGACTGGCTGTGATTTATAGAGAGAATTTTAAATGTTCCTTGTTTCACTTAAAATCACTTGGTTTTATCATAAATGGCACGCTCCCTCTACTGTGTTTTAATCTACAGACCCCTAAAATCTAATTCTGGTTTTATTTGACAATTTTCTGGTGTTTTATTATGCTTCAGTTCGATAGTCTTAAATTGCCCCACTGGTTCCTCCTTTACCATGGATTTTATAGACATTGTGCATTCTTTTAATCTAACTTAGGCAGTGGAAGGTCCACTATGGTTTTACTCTTGATAACATTGATCTCTGTGAGACTAGTCTATGTGTGTCAGACCACAAAGCTATAATTCTTAAGCCCAACCTTTCACCTCCTGGTCCTACAACGGCTACGCATATCTCCTCCTGGAGACTCACTGCAAACTCTGCTTAGATTTCAAAATACCTTTACCGCTGCATCCTTACATAGGAACAACCAAAAAATATGTTGATAGAAGAATTACTAACCGACTTCAATAATACATTTATAACTGCTCTCGACTACAGCACAGGTAAAAATCCGTGAGATCAAATCAAAGCACAGCGTGCCCTGGATAGACTATAACATCAGAGATATAAAGAGGAAATGCAGACAAGCAGAGCGGAAATGGCCTCATACCAATTCATAAAAGAACTCATGTCAACCTTTCAAGAAGCAGTACAGGATGCCAGATCTTCCTTCTATTCAACACACTGAAACCACTCCTACAATTTGTGAGCAGTATTTATATCCTTTTCATCACTAAAGTATTGCATATTTGGATTTTGACATCTAGGCTCCGACCTCATCACTCCCCTCAGATATGTTTACATAGAGATATTGGGGAGTGATGAGCAAACACCTTAAACCCCCAGTCGGAGTCTACAGGTGGATGCTGGGGTGGTGGTGGGGCTTACAGAGCAGCAGCAGCAATATGGATGCAGGGCAACAGCGGCATTGACAGAGCAGAGGGAGAGCTGGGAAATTGTGCAGTTTAAATAGACCACCAGATTGGAAGGGTGCGCTTGGTTAGTGATTATGGAGTGAGGCATGTCATGTGTGTATATCAGCGCAGCTCACGTTGACTGCCTGAACTAGCTTGCAGGCTTCACTCCATTAAATGAAATAAACCTCCAGACTGGTCTTCCCACTGGCAACCATCATTCTCCACACTACGATCTCTCTGCCTCTGTTTTTGTCTCCCTCACAATGTGAACTTTAAAGGACACAATGGCCAAATTAAAGCCTACATCAAGCCCTTTAGACGTGATGCCTGCCACATTTCTGAAGAAGGTTTTAACAGCGTGGGTCCCTTGATTGTAAATCGATTGTAATTAGCTCTTTGTCCACAAGTTGTGTTCCCTCCTGCCTCAAGCATGCACTAAACCAACCAAAATGACTAAACTGAGACACTGGGGAAGCTTAAGAAGTGGCTGATCAGGCCACTCTGACACACAGGGGGAATAGACTAAATCATAACATTTAAACCAACTACAATAACCTGAAATAATATCCAGATAACGCAGCCAAATATTAACTAAGGAAAATACTGAAAGGATGCAGGCCTCTTTTAAGCATATCTCCTTCAGTCGACACTTCCTTTGTCGGCCACAAGACATCTCCAGCAGCAACACTCAGGAACTGGTAACTCAAATAATTAATGCAATGAAAAATAACCTAAATTAATGAACCTAATAATGATACCCAAAACTGACAAAGAAAGTTAACTAATTGTGTGCACCCAAATAGATTAGCTTGGATAAATAAACTGTTTATTATGAAGTCAAAATCGGTGTCCAATTATTTATTGTGAATTGTGTATAAGCTATTGTTCTAAACCTAAAGATAATCAAACAAATAAAAGAGTTACCACCATGGGATCTCCTCAGTGTGTGGCTGCTATTGAGGCCATCACAGTCCCCCAAGGTCCATCCCTGTTGTACAAGACAAATCTTGGATTCTTGACGTCAAATATCAAACCTGTAGCCAGAAACCTGGGCGTAATGTTTGACAGTGACCTCAATTTTGAAAAACAAATTGCAAGTGTGTCAGCTACGTGGCTGCTGCAGAGCTGCTGCTGCGAGCATGTTTCCCTATACACTTTTACCTGTATAACACATTTTCATATCATTTAATTTACATTGCTGCATAGTTTAAACCTTAATGTGAAAAGTAGTAACCTGAAAGCACATGTGGTTTGTTTACCAGAGAGAGAGAGAGAGAGCTGTGGAAAGATAATGCCCTTCAGTCCATTCACCATTAACACAGTGAAGTTGTGTTAAATAAAAGATTACAACAGTGCTTTCACTTTGAAAAGGAAGTTAAAAATGTACTGAAATATGTGGATATGACAACCAAAAGATCCATTTACTGTGCTCTTTTGCTGGGACACGCACAAGTCTTGTGGTAAAAATAGGCAAGACCTCGACTCTCTAGTGAAGCGTCGGCATGGACAAATGACATATTTTGTCATTTAATTCAATTAAATTGAAAAGTTTGTTTTGTTGACTAATCTGTCCACCTTGATGTCCTTTCCCCCTTCGGATCCTTTGTTGCTCAGTACTGACCTTATCTGTCATTGTTTACTACGGCTGCCAGATGGCTTTGTCACTTGAATGTAACATATTATATTTTCGGGGGACTTACTAAAATGGCCTCTTTTTAGAACAGGGGGACAGCTTAAATTAGTCTTTTTACAGATGTAGATTTCCCAATTTTAAAGAAGATATTGGACTCACTGGTGGGAACAGAAAATATGGCTGATGTCCATCTTGGTGAGGAAGTCATTTATGGGCTTCGTTCATGTCAGAGATAAACAGTGTCATGATTTTCTCGCTGTCTGACCCGCTAGGTACTGGGCACCAAATCAGCCTGATAATGGTGGTGGAGACTCAAAGTGGGGTGAAGAGGACTGTGCACAAATAAGAGATGATGACAACACCCATTGGAATGATCTGTCCTGTGAAGCTCCTCTGCAATGGTTTTGTGAAAAATAGCAAACATTGCTGTATAATTAAGATATGTTATTTGTATGTTTGTGTATGATTGTGCCAAATGCCACTTGAAGCATATATATGTTATAATAAAAAAATAAATCAAGCTGTTTCTTCCCAACTTCTGCCAGACTTTTCAGTTTTCTACTAACTAAAAGAAAAGTTACACCATTTTCAGATTATTTATCCACAATACTTATAATAGTAGGCATAATATTCTTATGCCTCCATGCTTGTGATGTCCCTTTGTCCATCCCATTCTTGTGAGTACAATAACTGCCTTGAGGGAATTTCTTCATATTTGGCACCGTGGTCCACTTCAACTCAAGGATGAACTCATTACAATTTGGTGCTAAAAGGTCAAAGGACACTGTGACCTCAAAATGACCTTGTCATAATAACTCAAGAACTGATACGGTAGTTATGATAAAATTTCCCACAGATGAATCTAGTGATGCTCCTGGAATCATTTGGGGTTTCAGGTCTTTCAACATCATACACCCTCCAAGCATAAGCTGATCAGACCCAGGCTCTCTTTAGCCACAACCACCTTGAGGCTCTCTCTTTCACATCAGTGGTACTACGGATGGCTTTTCTCCTCCTCTCTGTCTCAATGCTCAGCAAGCTAAGGGCTCTGAATAGAGATTAGCCTACAAACCCCCTGCACGCAATTTGTATTGGAAAACTGTCATACCCTCAAATGCCTCTACCAGACTATCCTACCAAGAAACTGTCAGCTACAGGGGCACGACTTGCCTTGTGGAAACTGCTAAACATGGTGTTAACTTTTGTTCCATTTTTCTGCATACACACACTACAGACACACTTCTTGTTCCTGTTTCAAGAAAGAGGGCAGGCGATAAAATCAATTTCCTGCACCTTTTCAGAAAAGGGAACCCACCAAGAGTTTCATATTTTGTGCTATTTAAAACTTGTGCTACAGAGGCAACAATCTACAAATTATTTGGCATTTATGAGCGATGGAGGAAATCTACATGAATGTTAAATATGACAACTGTGCTGACTTAAAAGCATCAAAAAATCTGAGAGGTAAGAATAATGATTCAGACAGAGAGGCTGACAGACTGAGCTCTGCAGAAATGTGTATTATTACCTGTCATTAATGCTGTTGTATCATTTACTGTATTCACTGGTCTTTTCTGTGTTCAGGTCCCAGGAGCTCAGAGAGGAGATTTCATGGATCTGTTGTTCTCTGTCTGGGTCTGCTCACTGTTCTCCTGCTGGTTGGACTCATCGGCCTCGGTGTCCACTGTGAGTCTAAATCACATCCAGAGATTAAAGTTTTATGTTGTGTTGCATGAGCTGTTTTCCTCATATTTTCTCTTCTGTATTTTTAATTGTTATTAATGATTAAAGTTCTATATTTTGTGTTAGTGCCAGTCTTTTCTACTTTGGACATGTACATGGATTTGTTCAGTGAGATTGAAAAATATTTTCCTATGTATCAATACAGCCTTGCCAGGGACTACATATAGTGTAATGTGTTGGGCTGCTCTAGGTTAAACTGCAAGGCTGCTTTCATGCTGCAGTCTGTCCCTGAGCCAGCCTAAAGAAGAAGGAATTTCTCTCTTTAAAAAACTTGCTTAATACAGAAAGAAATCATCAGCTGTTTACTTTAAAAGAAATATGAAAGCTGTAATTCTGGTTTGTGAAAGTGTACATTTTGAATGTTTGAAATGCTTCTTTTGAAATATGTGACATAATAAACACAAATATGACATGTCGTTTGATTTTTTACAGACTACGATTCAGTACGTGGTTTGGCTGCAGATTTCTCCATTGTCACTGACAATCTGACTCAGCGTCTCCAGGCCAGTAATAACAAGCTTTCCTCCATGTTTGAAGAGAGAAGCCTGCTGAATGCCAGCCTCATTCAAATGACTGAAGAACTGACAAGACTTCAGACTTTGTCCAGACAGAGTGAGTCACAACTGCTCTCGTGTGAACTCGTACACGTTCATATGTGTTGCGGGGTGGTGTTGGAGGGAGGTGGGATTTCTTTGGTTGGATACTTTCATATAAATATACAAAAAACGACTTAGATTAGATTCAACTTTATTGTGATTGCACGTAGTACAAGTACAACGAAATGCAGTTTAGTGTCGAACCAAAGGTGGGAAAAGCAGTGAGGTGCAAAGTATATGTATAGGGGTGATAAATAGATTGAACAGTAAGGGGCAGTTAAGAATCAAAAGCTGTTCCCGAGCCTGCCGGTTCTGAAACTGAGAGTCCTACAGTGCCTCTGAAGGTGTCCACAGGGTCAGTCATTTCTGCACTTTCCATTCGTTGTCTAGACGGGGCACCATGTTGGCTGCTCCTTATTTGCATAAAGCAGAGGTCAAAACTATTTTATGCAAATCAGCAGTGCCTGGCTCCAGGACTCACCAGAAACACATTAAGGTGGACTTTTTCCTAATATGACAGAAAGTTCCCAAACAAGCTGCCATGTTGCCAACCACAGTTGTGTCTTCTCCAAATTTGATAATGATACTGTAAGCTCATGGTGGCACTGGAGGAAAAGTTTGAGGGAACACTGAAGTCATTAGGATCCGTCCTCTGGGGACATACATGTCTGTACAACATTTCACGGCAATTGGTAATTGGAGAGAGATTTGAGTTTGGGTCAGAGCATTTTGTACATGATTTATTTTGAATGCCAACAGTGTTTTAATGATGTGGAAAACCTCTGGGTAGTTTTTACAAGATTTGACTTTTCAATCAATTTCTATTTTTTTCTCATCTTGCTACTGTCTACATTCCAACTGACGCAAATTCAAAAGATGCACTGCAGAATTATTTCCCGGGTGTTTATGTGTATGTATATATGTATGTAAATAAATATAAGTTTATTTTATTGTATTATTTTTTATTTATTTTCTGTTATTCTATAATTCAGTTCTTTTTTTGTGTGTGTAGGATAAAGGATCTACGAACCTTGCTTTGAATGAATACATTTCCTTGAGTTCTTGAATCTGAAAGCCTCATTGTAAATCCTCAGACAGGCAGCTCCAGAGCAGAGAGGCTCTGATGATAAAGCCCAGTTAACTTAAATGCTCAGAAGGACCCTGCCTGAGAAATTGCTTTCTGGATCATAGGCAACCGATTATTGAGTAAAAGAGAGGAAGTGCTTTAAATGAAGTTACAGCAGCTAAACGTAATGTCACAACTTCCATGAGCAACACAATTAAACCTAATTCTAGGCAGAATACCTTGTCATATGTTACATAATTCATAGGATTCATAGTTTGCATCCCTCATACTGTGCCTTTTTATGTTGTATGTCACAGAGAAAGCTTGTCCTACGGGATGGAGGATGTTCATGTGTTCCTGTTATCTCCTCTCCAATGAGTCTGGTTCGTGGGCAAGAGGCCGAGAGGACTGCAGGAATCGAGGAGCAGATCTGGTTGTAATTGACAGCACTGAAGAACAGGTACAGCATGTTTGAAAGTGTTGATCCCTCATTACACTGTTGGAAAACTCCTTGAGACCCGGACTCCAGAAACACTCTGACAGCATCATAAAAATATGAGAGCTCTGTGTTGCAAGAAGTTGAACATTGATTGACGGTCGGATGTAATGATATTGATTTGTTGGTATATGGCAAATTTTGTTTTACAGGAAGAAAAAATAGTTGGATTTTATTAGACATAAGAATACAAAGAAATTGATATTTTTTTTATTTGTTTTGGCAAACATTGTTTAATAGGTGCACAGGATTAAAAAGGCATTTTTCATTTAATCTCAACTTTAAAGGATATGTAGGATTTAGTGGCATCTAGCAGTGCAGTTGCAGATCAGAACTCGATGGCTTCAACATTCCCTTCCAAGTGTCTAGGAGCCAATAGATCCTCCTAAATGTTATACACGAGCCCTTTATGTTATCTTACAACCTGTTCACAAATTGGCAATAAAAAGTGAATAATACATAAAAAATCATGTGTAAAATGCCACAGAATCTTACATTTAATGTAGAACGTAATACTACTGTTCCATAAAAGATCTGTGAAGAAACTTAAATATGGCCACAGTCATTTCTTTATGATTTTAGGCACAATTTAATACAATTCCTTATATATTTTTGTACTTAATGTACTTTTTTGAGAATGAACAGAGCAGTTGTTTCATTTAACGGGGAATTTGGCAACTATTTCAACTTAATAAACCTGTTTAGAAATCATTTGGATGGTTGAATGGCCTGTTCTGGTGTTAATGGTGACTTTCCCCGCTCCCCCTAGCATCCCCAGGCGGAAAACCAACCTTGTAACTTTGGGACTACCGTCCCGTTAAGTTGGAAATAGGAAGTATTGTGAGAAGCAAGAATGAGCGAGAAACACAAATTGCTTTACGGCAATTCCACATAAACGCACACGCCCCCCTCAATACCAGTTAGCCACGCCGGTTATAAGAACAAGCGACGATGAATGTATTACCCACCTCGGTAGACATTGCTCCACACAAAAAACTTTCCCGGCAACAAATGCACATCAGCAGCGGTAGAAAGGGGGAGGAGGGTGTGCCGCAAGTGAGTTTTTTTACAACAGTGTTTTGAAATATACGTCCCAGAGCTGTAGGGGGAGCTCATTGAGAAAACATGCAACGACAAAAGTGAAAACCAGCGAAGAAATGGCTAGAGTTGCCAAGTTCCCCTTTAAATGTTAAAGATCATGTTTATCAGGCTACTGGAACAATGATAATAATTTGTAGGGCATTGAATTTAGTTGTTGTAAACTGAATGTATAATGTTGCTCATAAATAAATACTGTGGCTTTTTTTGTATTGAAACAGACATTCCTCTCTGACTTGACCATGGTAGAAACTTGGATTTGGATTGGTCTGACTGACAAGGACAATGAGGGGACCTGGAAATGGATTGATGGGACTCCACTGACTCTACAATACAGGTCAGCATTTGCTCTATGTTCAATGTGTTCAGTATGCATCATTTTATATCATAATATTGACATATATATAACATGATATGATATAAAAAATATTGTGATGACAGACAACGTGATGTTAATCTTCATCAAGTCAAGGTTGGGTTGGCTTTGTGTTGTGGGACCCAATGAACCATACCAGAGAATGCTAAAAGCACATCTCAGACTGTTTCTGTGGTCCACACCCAAGTTTTTACACTTCAGCTCAGGGTTGAAAAACTCAAGTGTGACATAAATTTACATGTGAATTCAACTATGTAATTTTTGGGTTCTCTCAATAAACACTAATAGACATACAGAAATGAAAAACATAATCAACAAAGCTTACCTTAGTTTAAATATCCTTATGTCACAAAAAGGGAACTATTTTACAAATAGGGAAGTCATGAGTCTGAACCCCTCTAGAGGGTTTGTGGTTAAAGTACCACAAAGGAAATGAAATGCAACTGCAACAAAGGGTTTGAGGTGGTGTAATTCAAATAACACAACTCCCATGATTCTCTTGTTCACTGACCTGTTAGGTACTGGGAGGCAGAGCAGCCTGATAACGGTGGTGGAGATCCAAAGTGGGGTGAAGAGGACTGTGCACACATCAGAACTGGCAAGAAAACTGAAGAAAACTGGAACGATCGTTCATGTGATGCTTCATTGCGATGGATCTGTGAGAAAAAGGCTTAGCATTATGCTTTTACAAACTATGATTTGGCAAAAGACCCTTTGTATTGAGTGTCCTTTAAGATCTGTATGTGAAAGAGAGTATATTATTACAGGTCTTTCTCATCGGAGTTCATTATCCTTGAAGAACATTTCTGTGGGAACTTCTCTGCATCAGTTTAATAATGAGTACAATATGGGCACCCGGTTAGCTCAGTCGGTAGAGATGGCGACCCATGTACTGTCTATCGTCAGCTGTCTCTATCAAATAGATTTTAATAAATAAAAAAATATGAGTACAATATATAATTTGCGTGATTATAGGGCAACCTATAATACAGGGCAAGACAGGTGGGTCGTGTTTGTGTAGAATGCTGTGTAGGCTCACATAATACTACATAGTACTTTCAGTTAAATAACCATAATGTGCTGTAGTTTTCAGTCTTACCCTTTGATATGCTAAAGAAGTCTCCAACAGTTGTTTCCCATAAGCGAATGGTAGATGCTGGAAATGTCACCGCAGTGAACCCATAATTACCTTTCCACTGTCTATAAAGTGTACAGTAGCCTGCCAGTAACACATTTGGATGAAATATGCAAATATTTTCCAAATACTAAACAAAGACACGGTACTACACTTTGCAGGACAGTGACATTTAGTGACACCTAACTTGTCTTTGTTTAGTATTTGGAAAATATTTGCATATTTCATCCAAATGTGTTACTGGTAGGCTACTAATAATTATGGGTTCACTACAGTGACATTTATTTGGCTCATCAGAGGGTAAGACTGAAAACTACAAATACATTATGGTTATTTTACTGAAAGTACTTAGTTGTGTCATGGATGCTGCACAATATTGACATGCCAACGGTTAATGCTATATACTCTAACTACCAAAGTATTACGTTAGTCTCTATGTAAGTCTACACAGAAATCATCCACCTGTCTTACCCTGTATGTGGGCTATACCACTCACTTTAACAGTTAACTCCCACATAATTACCAACCAAAACGCTTTATTCTGCTTTCATTTTACTCTGTAATTACTCAACACTTACTACAGTAAATACTGGTAGTTCTCCCACTGCAGCTGGTCATTATATTGATTTTACTTAAATTACTTTCTGTTGTTTCTGGCTCATTTCTCTACATTCCTCTGTAATTACTACATAATTAAGTATGAGTATTCTGATCATCATGTCATCTAACAAGTAAAAATTCAAGACTCAAAGTTTCTGCCAGGCATCAAAAATTGCTTGTTGCTTCTTCTGGCTTTCCAACTAGGGAATTTGTGCCCCCTACTCATAATATTCACATAATGGTGGTGAATGGAAACAAGCATTCATTAGAATTTGTGATACATTTGGACCAAAACACAGCTTATGACTGACTATGAAGTTTTAAGATATTTCTGTAACTGTAAGGTAAACATATCTGTAATCTGAAGGGTACAGCAGGCCAAGATCGGACCCAGAAGTTTTTCTCCCTTTTCTTTTGTCATATAAACACACCAGTGTTCCAAACACCAGACATAAAATCATTGAATCAGTGTTTTAGCTAAAGATTTCTTCATAGTTGAAAACTGCAAAAGAAAACCAGGATGGTATGGTATAGTCTGGTGTAAAAGTTTTGTTATGATGATTTGTGATGGCGGTAGCTGATATTGGTTGTGGCTTTTTATATAATAATGAGCAGAATTAAAAGCCTTTAAAAAGTTTTTTTTTCTGTGTGTGTGTCTCTTCTTTCATCTGTTATCATTCTGCAGGGGAAACTCTCCAACAGGGAGGTCAAAGGTCATCTACAGGGCGGCTGCAAGTGGGGATTTTAGTGTATTTTCACTACAACCTTGTGCTTTTGAGTGCAGAGGGACATTCAACAGACATCAAGTGAAGAAAACAGGGCTAACTTTACAACAGAACATCCCAGAACAATACTCCTGTATCATACACCAAACAAACCACTGCTTGAAGTAACACTGGTGTTTGGTTCAAATGCCTAAAACGATGCCTAAAACTCCGGTACAAGGACCTCTTGTGGCCATGCCAATTATGACTGTTGTCTGTCAGAAAGAATGGTGTTGTAGTGCCACAAACCCTCTACAGGGGGAGATCAGGGTGGATAGAAAGAATGTGACTTTGATATGAGACACTGCCGTTGAGACAACCCAAACCTCTTGGTTAAGGTTGATTATTGGTTGGAAACAAGAGGGTCTCCAATGTTAAAGTTACGTCTATCACAAGCATTATGGTTCCTAATGCAAAAGGAGATTGTTTAAAGGAGATCATATTGAGCAGTAGATAGGAAAATGCCAGTGTGCTGTGGTCTTTAGGGTTATTGTTTCATTCCAAATTCACCATTTCATTTTCTATATAGATAATAGATAGTGTATCTGGTAGTAATCTTGCTTCAAAGTTGTGACAGAGGATTATCATACACACCATATTTTCAGCACCTCTGAAACTCATGACTTCCTCTCAAGTTAACACGTTCAGAAATTGAAACCAAGAAGAGAATCATTTTTACATCCGTGCTGCAGAGCTGACCCTCTAGGAAATACTTAAGAGCGATGGACGAGATCTATATGAATGTCAAACCAGTACCTTCAAAAAATCAGACGGGTAAGAATGTTCATTCAGACAGATGTCTTACATGTATCAGTATATTATCATCTGGTCTTACTGTTGCATAATTCACTGGTATTTTCTTTGTTCAGTTCCCAGGAGCTCAGAGAGGAGATCTCACGGAGTGGTCGTTCTCTGTCTGGGACTGCTCAGCGTTCTCCTGCTGGCTGGACTCATCAGTCTTGGCGTCCACTGTGAGTCTAAATCACGTTCAGAAATCAGAGTAATGACTTAGTAGCAAAAGTCTGCTCATATTTTATAAAGATGTCTATTTTAATTTTCATTTATGTTTATTTTTCATTTATGTGGTTGTATTTGTCTTCGTACCGCTGACAGATATATATTACATAGGTTGGCCTCACATTGGGGAGCAAGTGTAATTTAACTTGATTTTTGGTCACTGTTCATTGGACAGGGACATTTCATATTTGTGTATATTCAGTAACTGTTTCTCGACTTTCAGGAAACATGTTTTTATTGACTTCACATCTACTGACAACGTATATATTATATGTTAAATATAAATACAATGATATGGCCTCTTACATATACTGAATAATGAGGAAGTCAAGTAACATAGAAAATAAGGAAGTCCATTGTTAGTTTTAGTGTGGGAAAAAAAGCAAATACAATGTAGGAAATTTATAGTAGTATATTACTAAATCAAATTCTTCTTTCTCATCAAATCAAAAGTCTTTTTTAAATGAATGAAAAAACATAGAAACAAATTTCTTCCAAACCACTGTTTAGTCTACCACACATGCACCAGATAGGATGCTGTTTCATATAATTTGGTATCTGATTTTGACATCCTGTTATGAAAATAAAAGTCTCTCTTGGTTTATTTTAGACCATGTCTCCGCTCAGCGTTCAGCTGCAGAACTTTCCTCTATCAAAGCCAACTTGATGGAGCGTCTTCAGGCCAGTGACAACAAGTCCTCTTCCCTGACTGCAGAGAGAGACTGGCTGAATGCCAGCCTCGTTAAAATGACCGAAGAGCTGAACAGGCTGAGTGAGAGTGGGGACTGTACACAAATGTTCTCGTCTACAGGAGCAACAAAGTGAAAATAAAAAAATGTTTTGTCTTAAGAAGTGTGAACGTTTCTGTTTTGTCCTAATGCAACAGAATTGTCTCACACATCTTAAATTAACCAGTGTGTTACTCTCCTGTTTATTATGATCTTGTGGCAGGAAGTTTGATCATTTTCGAAAGCATGTAGTCATCATGAGACAGTTTTGTACAGTATTTGTCTACCTTAAACATTCCTGCAAAGACTCAAATGTGTTTTCATTATGTAATCTTGACGACACATAATTGTTTAGGTTTCTTTTTTATTCTCATGACACCAATTGATTAGTAAAGTTAGTTAAGCAACATCACCCCTAGCATCAACCCTTAAACTATCTGCAAACTAACAGCAAGTTAACACAACAACAATAGATGGCCTGTCAAGCTGCACCTCGAAGACTGCAAGAATGAAACCAAAGTTAAAAACACAATAGAAACTATTTTGTAAGCAGGTGACAGGGTGATATTATGGCCCCATCATATTCAACAATCATGTTTTCACAAAGCCACCTTTATGCTGGATACCAAATATGAATCTTTATTTAGAACTTGCGGTTGTCTCATTTTTGTTGTTGTTGTTGTTGTTTCTTACAGGAGGAAGGCCTACTTGTCCTACAGGATGGAGGATGTTCAAGTGTGTCTGTTATCTCCTCTCTAATGAGACTGGTTCCTGGGAAAAGGGCAAAGAGGACTGTGGCGTCAGAGGAGCAGGTCTGGTGGTAATAAGCAGTACTGCAGAACAGGTAATGTGTGTGATGTTTTAAATGTTGATGGCTTCCTAAATAGTTCATGGAGAGACATTTTTATAACATATTTTCAAATGTCTACGGCCATGCTTGTCTGTGAGTCTGTTCCACTGACTGTAGATGGATGACATGACAGCTCCCCACAGAGTGAGGCCAAAATATCTCTATCGCCCCCTGGTGGCTGGCTGCAGTATAAGTCAGAAACCCCACCCCGTCCATGTTAGCAGATGGGACATGGGCCAAACTAAAAAGTCAAAGTACTCATCTTTTCCTAAAGATGGTTTCTGTCATTTTAGGTAGTTCCTTTCGTGCTGATGGAAGTTTTATTGTTAATTTTTCTGATTGTTTTTTTATTTTGTTATCTGACACTATAAAAAGGGGGTTTCATGTCATGATTGACAGCTGAGCCCTGCTGCGAGCCCTAAATTGAGTCAGCTGGGTGTATGGTGGGACCTCAATACCACGGCTCCAAACCCAATGGCTGCTGCACAGACTCTGGCTCCAAATGACTTCTAGAATATTGGGATATCTGGGAAATTTTGGCTTCATTTTTCTACGTTCTGAGTGGAGATGAGTTGTACATCTTTAAATACAGTCTATTGGCTGATTGGCTGATTTCCTTAAGTGACCCCTTTTCTATCATTGAGTAAACTGATTACCCCTAACTCAGTGACATATTTTATGGATGGTTCATATTATATTTAATGTATAACAATAACAATAGACAACAAGTGGTAAACTTTACAATGAACCCAAACAGTGAACACGATGAGAGCAGATTATTCCCTGTGAATATTGCATCAGAGATGAGTTTCTTGATATTTTAAGAACCCTTTATACAATTCTCTGTTTGTATTATGTATTTTTTTTTATTTTATTTATTTTAACAATTGTACATACTTAATAGGCTTCTTTCTTGACAAAAATATTCCCTGATGCTTGGCCATTGTTCTATGAGGCTAGGTATTTTAATGAAAATTAAATTAATTTAAAAAAGTTTAATCTTTGCATTTACATTTAACAACTTGAATACAGTGACTTTACATATAATATTATTAAAACTAAAATATAAATACAGTGACTTTCCATTATCTTTATTGCACAGATGTTCCTCTCTAACTTCACCAGGGAAGAAACTCATGCTTGGATTGGTTTGACTGACAAAGACAAGGAGGGGACCTGGAAATGGATTGATGGAGGTCCACTGACTGATCCACTGAAGTAAGACATAAATGAACTTCACCTTTGTTGAACATAAACAAAAATACACACATTTTTTGTATTTCTATTTCCAGAATGTTTTTGTTTTAAGTCTGACTCTACAATCTTCCGAACCAGAAATAACAGATAAACTCATTTCAAAGTGTACTCAGTATAGACTGAAATTCATTCTGCACACATTTTCACTCACAATATACAGTATATGTGATGCACTTTGGTGAAATATATTTTACTCAGTAATCCCACCAGATGGGGCTATGGTTCTTTAAATCAGGCTTCTATCTCCCATCTTCAGTCAGGAGGCAGTGACTAATATAGATTAGAGCTACAGAAGCCAGATATTTTGGGAGAATTTTAATTATATATATATATATATTTAATTTGTATATTCTTTTTATAAATTGTTTTTATAAATGTATTACTCTTTCTTTTGCCCACTAAAATATCAGATAATGAATGTAATTGAGTCTGTTATTTATAGATTAATAATTAATTTGTAAGCAAATTTGTGGATGCCTATTATTTGTACAATTAGTTGTTAATGAATGAAATGCTTTATTGCTATATGATCATTTTTGGCCACTTGAGGGCAGCAACACAAGCAGGAAACCAGTACAGTACAAAACAGTAATCAGTGTTATTGAAAGCTGGTATGGAAATCTGGTATACTATTAGACTATATCCTATTTACACAGCATACCCAGAGCAACATTAGCATTCATTTGGAGTTGATTATGATTAATAGTGTTCATGCAAAACATTTACAATGTCATTATTGTATTGTTTGTTGACCTGTTAGGTACTGGCGTGAACCACAGCCTGATAATGGTGGTGGATACAAAACACTCGGGGAAGAGGACTGTGCCCATATCATAATTGGAAAGAGTGATTTGCACAACTGGAATGATTTGTCCTGTAATACCCTTTTAAGATGGATCTGTATGAAGAGGCTTTAGCACTGGTAAACAATTTGTTGTGTTTGTAAATGACCAAAGGCATCAGGAAAGTCCTTTACCTACAAACCAGTTTCTAATGATATATAAAAATCATTTGGAATTATATCATCAAAGTGTCTTAAGATGGATTGTTTCTTCTTCTTGAAACTTCTTCTGCATCCATCCTCCATCCTCTCCGATCAATGTTTCTGTGTTAACGTTCTATCTCAAAATCCATGAAGGGAAAATCCACGGCTGAAATCTTCTTCCAGGCTTCCAAACCTGTGTTGTTGACATTGTCGTTGTTGACATTGTCGTTGTTGACATTGTCGTTGTTGACATTATCGTTGTTGACATTGGCATTGTCTTCTCGTCTATAGTTTAACTGGTGCTCATTTTCCCCAATGGCTAGAATGTAGGGCATACAGATTGCTTTGGCTCTTTTTGTTGCTAGTTTTGTTAGCTCCTTTTTCAAACGAGTGTTCACTTGCTCCGCCAGAAGATCTTCATAAACTATTCTGTAGTAAGGAGACTTTGAGTAACGCAAATTTTTCCACATCGTCCTTCTGATACAGTAGGCTGTAGTGCAGTCAGCAAGGCTCCAAAGAACAAGAAGAAAACAGATGACATAAAAGCCAAAGTCCTGCAAACGATAAAACAGTAAACTTAAAATAAAAAGATATTTATTTAATAGTTCAAGGAGACTAAGTCACAACATGTATGTGCTTTCAATCAACACTTCTACCATGACAGTATATTATGTTATCACTGGAGATCCAGCACCAGACACACAGAAAGTACTTTGTGCTGCTGGGTTCCCTGTAACAAAAAAGAAAATCTTTACCTAATTTGTGTTTTAGTTGCTTAAACATTTGAGAGTTTTTTGGGAGGAGGGTTTGTTTTTGTTTAGTTTTTTGCTTTCTTGTGTGAGCAGTTAGAAAACACTTACACACAATAGCTTAGATGTATGGACATCTTCAGTAATTGATGATACAACTTGCAGGAGAAACCATAGTAATATACAGTAATATAACTAGTAGTGTGTCTAATTACCGTTGGCAGGGAGTAATAAGCAAAGTAATAATTAATATTACTTTTGAAAAGAGTAATGAGTAATAAATGTTTTGAGTAACACTATGAGGACTTATTAAAGCCCATAAAAACTTAATAAATAACAACAAGGTTGTATGTGCAACAATCAGAGTTAAAGTAAAACAAAAAAAACATCCTTGGTTGTTATTTACTAACAATCTGACATTTAGCCCAAAGGGAACATTCTATGGTGCTCTGAATTGGCATATGGATGAATTACTATTCCTAATATCAAACATGTATACTGGGCATCAGACTAATTAAGGATTTAATGCTACTAGTATAAGTTATTAAATCAGTAAGTTATAGTCGTCTCTATAAAAATTATATCAGTGAAAGACTGACAGCTACTCTTTTATATTTTAATTATTTTAAACCTGTTTGAATATAAAACTATTTCATATCTCTAATGTAGCATATGTGATTGCTGTGTGTGGTTACTTACAAGTGAATCGGTTTTATAATCAGCTTTAATCCGGTACTCCTCGTAGGTCAGATTTTCTCTGCAAGGGATTCCGGTATGACTGGCATTGAGGTTTGTCATCAGGCAAAGATACCAGTCTCCATCAAACAGAACAGAAGTTATCCATACAGCACACATACTGAAGTAGCTGACAATAACCTTAACAAAAAAGCCGCAGCAGTTGTTGTGACTAAGACGATAGAGCAGATGGAAGATGGAAAAAATCCTCGATTCGTGTAAAGGCTCAGTGATGATGGCAACCCAGGTGAGGATCACAGGAGGGATGAGCAAGTACAGTATGCCATTTTTATGCAAACCTGGTCTGCACGAGCATATAAAATCCATGTCAAATATGTACTGCACGATGTAGAAGACGACTATCAGCACGAATATACTCACAGCTTTTGTTATTAATGGGACAAGTCTTTGAGGAAAATCATGACCAGTGTGAGGCATGTTGGCTGAAAGAGAGCGTCAGACTGAAAAACAATGGGCTAAGAAATATATATATATATATATATACATATACTAAATACAACTCTGGACAGAGGTGTGACACAGCTGTTAACCACAGTGTGCCAGCCTACAGCACTTTCACAATGATAGTACATGATGCTTTCACTTCTCAAATAACTGAGCAGGATTTTCCCAGACAGATTTTTTAATTTTGCATAATAAACAATTAGATCCTCATTTTTTACCAGATTTTCACAATTACATTTCCAGTTAGGGATCAAGAAAAGTGGTAAGGGGGATACTGATCCAGCCACCTAGAAGTGCCGGCTGGTCCCTGACAGGCCCTTGCTTATCCAGCTGGCTGGGGCTGTAGTATCTATAATCTGTATAACTTTGTATCTATGCACAGTACTAAAAGAATAGTTCAACATTTTGGGAAATACACTTACACACTATTACACCTCTGCTTCCAGGATTTATGCTAAGCTAAGCTAACCGCCACCTGGCTCCAGATCTTAATGTGTATCAGTATCAGTCATCTAACACTCAAAAGGAAAGCATATGACCACATTAACTAAAATATTAATTTAAACATAAATGGCAACATTGATGCATGGTACCAGCGTTAGCTTAAAGCTAATTTTCAACTGCTGTAGTTTAGCAGGTCAAAGTTAAAACACACACACACACACACACACATACACACACGCACACAATGATAGGACAAGTGTAAAAAAGGAAAACACATAGAATATAAAATACACCAAGATGCAGCACTATTTTAAGACCAAATACAAGTCCTTACAATTGGGTACTTGCAGTTACCAAGTGCCAATATGACAGTACAGTTCTAACATGACTTTAAAAATACAGAATGATTTATTTTCAGTAGATGTTCCTAAGGTTGTAAAATTTGCTTAAAATATCTCCAAACTGCTGACATTGCTTCTCCTCTGCCTACCTGCTCAACTAATGAGAGGTTAACTTATGATTACATTTCCGTGTACATGAGCGTACCTGATACCTGATACCTGATACTGGTATCTGTAATGTAAAACTATACACAACAGTACAGGACATACACACGTGTCGATGGCTTAGCATCACAACAACCAGGCTAGATTGGCCTCCCAGTGTTAGATCAGCAGCATGTGAAACATTTTTTGATTTCTAAAAAGAAAGAACATGTTATAGTCTTTCTCTCATTGTGGTTCTTAAATATATATATTGTTTAATCCCATGTTTGTTATCTGTATGGTTGCTGCTTTTAGTGTTCTATAAAACTGTTTTCCAAAACTGGTAGTTTACTCTCAACAATGCAGTGCAGGGAATAATGTATGAATGCAACTGACAGTGCAGTGCACCTTAAATAACTTTCATTCTTTTCCTTGAGCTATTCGTGGTGTCACACATTTTACTGCAGCACAGTTTCACAAGAATACGTGTCACTGGCAAACATTTAAACACATGCAGTTTATATATATGTACAGCCATAAGCACTTCTCAATCCACTTCTATTTCGACAAAGTCTTTACTAGAAATTCATTTTGCATTTATTTTTCCTCGTGCCTGTGCTCAGAAACAAATACTACTTCTTTATTTCATGTGGTTTTGTGACTTCAGTGTGCTTTTGCACATATCAAAATCTCTGTCACATGTAGAATTGAGGTTGGTCTCTGGTCTCAGTGGCATGTAGTTGCATTCTCATAATGAAGTTTTTTGTCTCGTTTCTCTACTGAAGAGGTTCCCAAACTTTTTCTGGCATGCCCGCCTTCGGAAGCCAGAAGAAGTTCACCCCACAATTTTTTGTTGAACATTATCAATGATAGAGGAAGCAACTAAAGATGCAAGTAAAATTAATAGTGAAATAAAGGTCAGCACGACAGCATCAGCAAACTCTTGTTTGTTTATTTTCCCTAGATAAATCATGTTCAACTTTGTTTCACTCCATATTTTTGCATGCGCATAACTGTTTAAGATGTGTATTTGTATTATTGTCTTGTGCCACTGGTAGAACACAAACAAGCTGCTAAGTTAGAATTTCATTATTTTGATTTCACTGAAGAGTTGTCAAATGCATGCTGTCTCTGCCTGCCGACTCTCTTCCACCCTGAAACATTGGAAATTTACTCCACCTTGAGTAAATTGTTGGAGTAAACCCAGTGTACTTGTCATTCTTTTTCATTTACATACTGATTGTCTTTGAAAAATGTCAACTATCAGCAAATTGAGCTATTTGATAAGTAATGACTAGATTCAAGCAGGATTTATCTAAACTGAGCTCAAAAAGAAATCAAAAGGTTTGCTTTGCCTTAACCCTAACCCTTTCACCAGAATAGGTGTTGCTGGCAAACAGCAGAAACAATGTACTTTGTGATTTAAAGGTGTAACAGCTGATGAATGCAGCAGCCAGAAACACTGCTAAACATTACAGTCCTTGACTGTGACGACAGTCTCTACTGGAAATTAGTTTTGCATTGCATTATGGCTCGATGCTGGTCATAGCTGTGACAGGAGGAACTACGTTTTAAATTGATAACATTTCATAGAGATGTTTAACAGGTTACGATGATGAAGTGATGACATTTTTTACACAAAAGGTCAAAGGTCAGCTTCACTGTGCCATCATAATGTCCTATAATAATTTGGCCATTACTCAACACTATACTGGCGGAGGCATACAACCACAGGGTTGTAATTGTAGTTTTTCTCACGTGTTCAGAATATGGAACCTGAAATAAAAACTGAAATAAATACTAGTTCTTATTTCACACGGTTGGATTCTATGACCTAAATGTGGTTTTTCATATCATGTGTCACAAGCAGACATGAGGTTTTTCAGTGGTCATCAGGTCACGTCTTTGTGATTTCCATGGTTTTGGTCTCATTTCGCTACTGGTCCTGAGATGAGCATAGTTAGAAATAATTTAATTCATATATAATTGGCAAAAACTCTTAAGCAGATATTGTTCTTTTCACATGACATTTGATGATTTAAGTTTTCCTTAATGAAGATCACAAATATAAGACCATAGTCTGTCTGTTTTTATTTTTTTTGTTTTGTTTTTTCATTTACCATGACATCTATGGGTGAAATAAAACTACACCTAGTCTAATGTAAGGGAATCAAAAACCATATTGTTAGAGCTAATAACTGACCAGTGAATGCCTCTAGATTAATCCATTGCACTTTCATGTTTTCTGCAGTATATTAAACCTACCTATGCCAATATGGGAAACAAATTGCTGAATTAGAGCCCCTTTGGCTTGTAAATTAGCAGCATGCACCTTTATTTCAATAAGGTACATGAGTTACTGTGAAAACAAATATGCAGCACACGCCTTAAAGGTAATATTTACTTATGGTGTTCTGTTTAGTGAGGTAAGCCAAGTAGACAAAAACGTAGGCAGTCATTCTGTGGAAGTAGAAGTCGTCTGTTTAGCAGTAGAGTATAGATATAGGTGTATTTGTATAAATGATTTTTGGTGGAATGATGGAATGATGGATATTTAGGAGGGATGGCATGACTGGACCTTTGACCTAAGCAACAGGATCGAATCGTTTGTTCTTCTCGAGAGAGGTTTTATCGGCAGCCATGGCTACCTTGGGACAGATCATCTTCTACAGGTGTGGCCGTAAGGTTTTCTCACTGATGGTGATTGAATTTTGAAAATAGTTGTCTATAGCAGTGGAAAGTAACAAAGTACATTCAGTCAAATACTGTACTTAAGTTCAATTTTCACTTACTTGTACTTTTCTTGTGGCCTTATGCCACTTTATACTTCTACTACAATACATTTCAGAGTGGAATGTTGTACTTTTCAGATTTTAGATTATAAAATACAGTGCAAATAATACAGAGATGTTAAAGCTGTTTCAACAAACTTTCCCTCTAAACCTCTAAGACAAATGATCCAATGTTTCACCAAAAAAGTCGAAAATAACATATATTTATACATCCTCTCTCATTAATCATCTTACAAACTCACAGATTTATTTTGCAACCCTTTGCAGGGGGCTGGTCCACTGGGTTGAGAGCCTTAGGACTACACTACCAAACTTTATATGATATAGTAAAAACTACCTACAACAATAAAAAGTTAAAAACTCCTTGTAGCAGGTTTAAGTAAATGATATTCACACTGTACTTTTTCCGCCACTGGGCGTCTACAGATTTCTGCATCATAGAGGCGCTTCTTGTCTTGGTTGCTGTGAAGCTGATCTAGAAGTTGATGTTAGCCTTAGTCAGCAGTGTGTCTGTGACCTTATCCTGTGTCTGTGCTTCTCTTTGTGTGTAGCATGATTGTCCTCATCGTCCTATTCACAGGCCTCATCATCCTCATCTTGTCTCTGGCCTTCTCAGGTAAGAACTTAGTTCTACTACTTACTGATGGCTCTGTCAGCCTGAGGGGATACATGGGTGTGTCCAGCATGTGTTTGCCTAAACTAAAGAGCAGTTCATCCTTGTGTTTGACAACACACTACCAATTTTTTAAAACCATCTGGATGTGTGTGTACTTTTATGCATGATGTTTCATGTGCAGTTTAATTTCCATCAAAGAGAAATGTTTTTTATAGAGACTTTTTTTATTCTACGTAGACATGATTGACAACGTTTTGATCACAGGTGGTAAGGTTATGATCAGGGTTCAGGTAGCGTCAGGAGGGTTAGGTTACCCTGCCTGCAGAAGACTATTAATCATGTTATCACCGATATCTACGTGGAATAAAGGAGAGATTTGGGAATAAAACGTGTGTATTGTTTGTGTATTTTAATCTTTCAGAGTAGATATTTGCTACTTAGCACCTGCAAAGAATTTTAGGATGTGTCTGCCTCAAGTTCAACTTCAATATACACCTTTTCCTACATTAAAGTAACATCTAGAAAGCATTCAGAGCACATATTCAACTATTGCTGCACAGTCGTCTAAAAAAGGTCATTTTTAACTTGTAACATCCAGCTCTGCATCAGAATACTTATGTTATATATATACATACATATATACATATTTTGACAATGAAAGATTTTAAAAAATGTGAACCTATCCTTTAAGAAGTCCTTTAACATTCCTATTACCAAGTTTTTAACATATTCAATCTTACAAACAAAAGGGACTGAAATGATGTTGCCCCAATGTATGTTTATGATCAGCATTCTCCACTATGAGCCTGTGCTGTGTCCTCGTCCCACAGGGTCCACAACCGAGGTGACGAGCAGCAACCGATCACCTGTTGGCAACCTTGGCGAGGATGAGCTTCTCAGCTGCTATCTTCTAACACAAAGAACCGGCTTCAGCCGGGTGTCAGTTACCTGGCAGAAGACGGGCATGAAGGGACTGGTTTACCAGTATACGGACGGATCTCCGAATCTCAGGGAGCAGAACTCACAGTTCAAAGGGAGAACTAATCTTATTCTTGATGATGTAGTCAGAGGGAACGTCTCTCTGCTGCTGAGGAGTGTGAGGAGCAGTGATGAGGGGGAGTACACCTGCAGCGTTGACTCCTCTGTAGGCGGAGGAACCATCAGCATTAGTCTCAGAACAGGAGGTAGGATGACTCGTCTTTCCAGTTTCCATTGGGAAAACTTAATCTTAACAGTAAACATTTGATAAATGGTTCTTAACACACTATAACATTTTCATAAGCAGATAAAGGGACATTTCAAGTGTATTAATGTACAGTATTTATTAACAATTACAGCATCTCCTATGAAGATATAGTTCTTAATATTACAACTTTGTTTTACCACGTTGTCATTATATATTATATATCATAATATTCAGCAGTTTCCACCCACAGGAAGTGTCCCCAGATATTGTTGTATAATAGGTAACACTTTACTTAACATGATTTAATACAGTAATTAGCATTAACTAACAGTTAATTAACAGATAACGAGTGTGTCTGGTAATCATTTACTAATGCTGTAAATGTATAAGACACTGTTTCTAAAACTATGGTATTAGTTGGTGGTTTGCAAATTGCCTCTATAGTGATATGCATCTCTGAAATATTTGTATTGTTATTTAAAAAACAATATGTGCTCACACTATGAAAATAACGTTTTGTATTCAAATACTAGAAGGTCCCTCTAAATTTTAGCATTTCCAACAATATTTTGTTTCAGTATCAGCCTGCTACCTAGTCACAGTCAGCATGACATTTTTGGGACTTTATAATGGTTTTACAACTGATTGAAAAGTAGTACTGTGACAATGTGACTACTGACTGAAGTGGGCCTTGGACATTTCACATTGCAGCATGGATTTTTAATTTCTACTTACCTCTTGTGTCTTTGTCTCAGCCTTTTCAGCCCCCACATTTACAATCTCAAAAGGCTTCCTGGTTGCTGAGGCAATCAGGTGGTACCCTGAGCCAAACGTGACATGGTTTGACCGTTTTGGAAACGACCTGCGGGGAAACACAAACCTCACACAAAGCTCTATGGGGATATACAGTTTAGTCAGCTCACTGAATATAACCGAAGACAGTGGCACTTACACCTGCAGCATTGAAAATAGCCTGGTGATCGTCGTCTCTAGGGCAACTATAACAGGTATTCTTGTATAACTGCTTTACACCATGTTTGTTCACAATCCAAAGCACAATCTAAAGCAAATATGAACTCTTTCTAAAGGCCAACATGGGGGAACTCACTTGCTTGAAAAAGAAGCTTGCTTGTATTTAATGTAGAGCACAAGGACTATACCTCTCTCACTTGATTTATTAGCTCAGTAAACAGTTTTGAGTCTTCTTCCATGCAGCATGATGTTCATTTTGTAAGTTATGGTCCCAATGAGACTTAAATAGATCATAAAAGTGTATGCTTTAGGGCATGGTGACCCTGTGATTGACAAGTCAAGCTAGACAAACATAAATCAAGATTGTGTTACTGCATTGCCATTTTCTCACCTACAACCTTTTTCAGAAACAAATTTTAGTATACTGTTTATTTTAAATACGAGATCATACGAGACCAGCCAAGCCGCCTGGTCTTACACAATCGAACTAAGGGCAGCCAATGAGCACAGCTTCACTCACAGTACATCACCACTGCTGGCTCAGAAAAACCAACATGGCAACGGCCGTAATGCCAAACTCATGGCTTCGAAACAGTACTCCGCAAACCAATGGGTGATGTCACGATAGGCTCACACTTGCATGAAAGATACTACACATACTGGAACCACTACGATACTGGGACTAAAAGTCCCTTGTATTACCCATATTAGGAACTTAATGTCTGAATATCTCAGCCTCTGCAGCTTCGATTTTGACTATTCTTTTATTATTGTGCCTCTGTCAAGTAGCTCAACTGCATGGAAACACTGAGTTGGTGGAACAGTACAAAAGTATATATAAAGATATATGAAAAAAATAAAGCAAACCAGATTGTGTTCCATTTGGAAAATAATAATAATAATAATAATAATAATAATAATAATAATAATAATAATACTTTTAATTCCCATTCATATTTTTCAGGCTCTAACGTTTTGTGGACCACATACTTCACCTACAGCACTGCATCGTCCCTGCTGGCATCGACTTACCTGAGCATCATGACCAGTGTCCTCTGCACCTTTTATCTGTCCTAATCACACACACACACACACACACACACACACACACACACACAACACACACACACACACACACACACTCCACCTGGCTGTGAATCTCCTCTGGTGTGTGTGTGTGTGTGTGTGTGTGTGTGTGTGTATGCGTGTTGGATTCATGCAGTGGCAGGACTTTTCAGAATCTAACAGAAGTAATGAGTCAAAGATTATCTATGAAGATTCTTTGGTTTTTAATTTATTACAGTGGGTGTCATTGTCCTGTAACAGTATTTAACTGTGTGGCGCATTTTCTCCATCAACATCGACCTTTTCTTGTTATTTTCTCTGATGTGTGTGTGTGTATGTTTTAGGTGAAAGCTCTATCTAGATTATTTGTCAGTAAAGATTTTTAAATTCTAATTAGATTTTTTATTTTTATTTTGTCTGTCCACATAACATAAACCAGGATGGACACTCCTCAGGGAGAAAATAAGAATAATATCATAAAGAGATGAAACAGTATCATATGATGGCTGAGAGCCATTTTATCTTATCAAATTAGCACCTTAACATTTCTTGTATTACTGAGTCAATAAATAAATACAATGAATTTCAGTTGTTCTGAAATGGGTGGATTTGTTCCCAGGTTTCAAAGGAAATAATGCAGCCTGAAACATTAAATACCAATTCATACTAATTACCACTAAGGAAAGGTGTTTTTTCTCAAGTTCTTTTTTTAAAGGAAGAACTAAACTTGAACTCTAATCTAATCTTTAACATTAGCATAGAAAATAAAACTATATTTCTGCCATTAGCTCAGCAATGTTTTTTTTGTAAATACAGTTCCAAAAGTAACTGTTATCCATTACAGTTACAGAAAAAAGATCAGAAAAAATCTGATTACAGTTACATTTAGTTAAAATTGGGATTATTTAGCAAGATTACAATTTTAAAATCCATCAGTTTTTCTTAAAAATACACTTATCTGAGGAAAATCAATTTTTTCCCTTTCAAAGGTCATTGTTCTGTTGTCTTTTACCACAGAACACACTCCAGTCATCAGTCATCAGTACTTCTTATTGACATTTCTTTCCCTTGTTAAAATGTGCATATTTGGTTTTGAGGTAATCCAAATGTAACGGTAACCAAGTTACATTACTTTATTATTGTGATACTTGGATTAGGGTACTGACTACACTTTTGAACAGTAATTGTATCGGATTACATTTTTACAGTAACCCTCCCAACCATGTGCACAGTTCACATGAACAATATGTTTACACCCTACTGTAAACATATTGTTCTGTCCTGCCGGTAGATGGGGGCAGTCAGAGTCCCAGACTGGTATTAAAGAGTCCTGGAAAGTCTTTGGACCACCCCTAAAAGTCCGCGAGAGGTTTCCTATTGGTCTGGTAGTGAGTGAGGTGTCATATGTCCCATGGAGCCGTGAACGCAGCCTGCTTCTCCCGGAGAAAAGTGGGACTTTCCTGTGGGATTCTACTCAGTGAGGTGGAACTATTCGTATTATCCCAGTGTAGATAAGTGATGGTTTAGTTTGATATGAGTGGTTACTGTGCAGAAGAAAGGCTCACAGGACGCTTTCGTTGAGTTGTGACCGGTTTTTGGAGCTCGGTGGGGCTCTGTCGGTATTCACTGCTCCAAAAAAGTCTCCAAAAACACTCAACATGTCGCAGCCCGAGCAGAAAGGAAACACGGAGCCCGCGCTGAGCTCGGAACAGGAACTTAACGGAACATTTGTGAACCCGAGAGCGGTCTGTAACGTGTGTAAACGCTTGTACCGGGACCCTAAAATCCTCCCCTGCCTGCACACCTTCTGCTCCGACTGTATCGGCCAGCTGGAGCCGTTCTCGGTGTCTTCGCGCTGCCGCCGGGACGCACCGGAGGAGGACAGCCGCCGGGGCGGAGCGGTGCCGGAGGAGCGACCCGCCGTCACCGTCACGGTGCTCTGTCCCGACTGTGACTCCGAGGTGGACATCCCTCCGTCCGGACCGGGAGGGCTGAGCACCGACCACCTGGCGCTGGACGAAGTATTCCTGGAGACCCTGGTGACAGACGGCCCGATGGGATGCGACCTGTGCGGGGAAGGAGTCGCCGAGAGCCGCTGCGAGGTCTGCTGCGTCAACCTGTGCGAGTTCTGCTGCCAGGCACACAGGTACAGTCTCAGGGCTAGTCTCAGTCTGCTGGCTAACTACACCCACACATAGACGAGGTAGGTCGGGCTTTGTTCTGGTCTGTCCTGTGAGAGCTCAGACCAGAACATCATCACAGTAGGTGAGCTTCTACTGTGAGACTCCAGTCCAATACATCTGCACTGTCTCTATTTAACATTGTCATAGTCATCAGTCCAACATCTAGTAGCATTGTTATTATCACATAGAAGAAAGAAAAGCTTCAAATCTTCAACTTTGGGAGGATGAACAAGCTGGAAAATGGTTCTGTTCTGTTCTGTTGTCACTCAGACTCCCACAGTGTCACTCTCCTAGTGCTGCCGTGATTCATTGATTGGTTCACAATTATTAAATTAAAGCTGCAGCAGATAACTTTTGTTGAAATAACTTTTGGTGATATTTGCTGAAACTTTAACTTATATCCTTACAGTGGTACATCAGGCAGATCCATCTTTCTTGCCTCTGATTGGTTGTTTTCATTCAGGTGCCATAGATTCTTGCAGAAGCCATTAGCAGCACTAGGAGGAGGCCAGATTCACAATTACCTTTATTAAAGGTACCTACTGCAGCTTCAATTGCCAACTCTTTGGATAATTCATGTGAGTCAGTTTTTGAGAAAAACATTTCCAAATTCTCTGATTTCATTTTCTCCAGTGGGAATATTTTCTGCTTTCTTTTGTCCTCCATTACAGAAAAAATAATATCTTTGGGCACATCATTTTGGGCTTTGGGAAACAGCGACCAGCATTTTTCAAAAAGCAAACTGCTAATCTACTGATCGAAACAATGATCAGCAGTATATTGAAAATAATCATGAGTTGCTGTCACTGACACAGGTACAATATGTGTGAGGTTCTAGTAGTTGTATTCTGTTCAGGTGTATTCTCTTTTCACCAGCTCTGAGGCTCAGCTGGATCTTTATTCTGACATACAATACAAATATGTATGTGTATCTGTTCTCTTTCCTGTCTGCAGGCGGCAGAAGCGGACAGCCTCTCACTCTATCCAGTGTCTGAAGGAGCTGAAGTCTCGTGGTCGTCTCTGCCGCCCCGTCCTCTGCTCCCTCCACCCCGGCCAGGAGCTGCGGCTCTTCTGTCAGCCCTGCGACCTGCCCGTCTGCCTGGAGTGCGCCGCCACGCTGCACCGCGACCACCGCTGCTGCCCCACCGGTGATGTTATTGACCGCCACGGAGACCGCATCCGAGAACTGGTCACAGTGCGCCTGCGACCTCGCCTGGAGCGCCTGAAGGAGTCACTGCAGAAGGTGCAACAGAGTCTGAAAATGATAGTTCTGTCGAGACTCACACTGGAGAGCCTGCTTTACCCTTTTCAGCTCCAACCGAGCCTTTAGAACAGCCCTAAGAAACCTTCCACTATGTCCATGTTTGAACACATTCCTACAGTTGTTGTCCAACATAATGCCACTAATGGCAAACTGTATTCAAATATTGAGTTATCTTATTTCACAACAGAATTCTGTCTTTGCACTGTTAAAGGTGGAAGTATCCCAGGAGGCTTTGCAGGCTCGGGTGGATGCGGCAGCGAATGAGGTGAGGGTGTTTGCACGAGGCTACGCCAGCGCTGTGGAAGCCCACTGCCTGTCTCTGCTGCATCGCCTGGAGGAGCTCCGCGTCCAACGCAGGTATGTTAGGGTTTTAGAAGTAAGCTAGGAGTAGTATGAAGCATCTCAAAATCACCCAAAGGAACCTGGCTGAAAGTTAAACTAGAAAAGAAACAATATCTCAAAGTAGGACCACAGAGTTATTCTTGAAGCCCCCTACTCTCACTCACAGTTCTGAGTAAAAGTTTTCATTTGAGATTGAGCCCAAAAACACCCCTGAGGTTTCCATAGTTTTTGTTCATTCAGATTCTGGCTCCACATCAGTTCTGGGATTGATTTGCAGTAGCTGTTCTGACCTCTGACCTCCCTGTGGAGAAATGAAATAAAACAGTTTCTTCTTTGAGAGTTGCAGCTGTGGTAAAGTTTGACATATTATTACAAATCTTTCTTTACTTTAGCTGCCTCCAGACACCTACTGTATCAGCAGTCAGTTGTGCTATTACGTACAGCAGAGCACTGCCTTCACTGTCAGCGTGTTTGATAGTGATGTTATTTTGTTGTCTTCTACTGTAATATATTGTCTAATGTAAGCCTGCCACTAAGACAGTCTGAAATTGGACAAAGTCCATGGTTAACTCAATCTGCTGATGAGGAATGTGATATGTGCTTATCACTGTTGTATCTGAACAACTTTCATGCTCAATTTGAAAATGAGTGCTTGTGAATTAACCATAAAACAAGATGTGCATGCTGAAATCCACATTGCCCCATTGACCCCTATGAGCGTAGGTCTTTGAGAACATTAATGAAAAATGAATGATTCAGTCAAGAAATTGATAGTTTTGGGAAAGAATGGTGTTTTAAGGATGTGAAAAACCAGCAGTGCTTATCTATTGCCAGTTGAGGTGTGTGAGTAGTACATGGTGAGACCACACCGGCAGTTTGTTATTTGCAGGAACATTATAGAGGACCGGATTAGGATGCTGCAGGAGCGGGCGGTTTTTTGACTTTACTGTGGGTGGGAGCGGATGGTCAAAAAATAAACTGTGTCCCGGGATTTAGCTAGCGCCCACCAGAAGGATGGAGATGGAGTCAACAAAGCTGAAAAGAAGATTAAAGCTGTTTTGTTTTTTTTAAACAACAGAAAAGCAAGGCAAGTCTGACATTTGGAGAAATTTCTCAGTTGCTTCTTATCACCCGCGGGACAGGAGTAGACACTAAATCTATGGTCAGAATGTGGGTGCCATGTGGGAGTGGAACACACACATAGCTGGAGCAGACGGTAATGGGCAGAACGCGGGATTAAGAAAACAGTCTGTCAGTCTGTATTTACAGATATACTACAAATATCACTACACATAAACACCGTTGTTTACAGCACAGACAAATCTCTGGTTTAGCACATGGGATTTGCTGCCTGTTATTCCCGCTGTCTCCGTCCAACAGGAACCAGCTCCACCTGCAGAGGGCGCAGCTGCAGCAGGCTCTGTCGGACGTCGGAGGCAGCGTGGAGTTTGCAGAGAGGCTGCTGAGCTGCGGCTCTGACGCCGAGATCCTCAGCGCCAAAGGAGTGACCCTGAGGAGACTGACCAGCCTGGCAGAGAACAGCTATGACCCCCACCCGGCGACCGTTGCCCCCGACGATGGCAGCAGCATCAACTTTTTGCCCAGGGAGCCTGCAGGGGAGGTGGAGGGCTACCCGGTGGTTGGGGTGATCAACTCGAAGACATTGGACCTCAGCAAGTGCACCATCAAAGGCGAAGGTAAAAGCCTCCTAATGCCAACATATTACAGTACCCGTGTTTTTAATGTGCTTTATCTACAGTTATGTTTTAGTTCTGTGGGAGTAGTTGGAGGCAGGCTGGTGGGGATGTGGAGGGGATCAGTTGAGGAGTTCGGGGAGGGGATGGGGTTAGTGTACACTGAGTGCGCCTGGAGCAGTTAAAGACTATTGTTGCCCTCCTGGGTGGGTTGGCTCAAAGACAGAAATTCCTGCAGGACTAAAGGAATGTTGAAGTCACTCAACAGGCCTGAAGGCAGTGCACTGAGGGGATGTTTACACACACACACACACACACACACACACACACACACACACACACACACACACACACACAGGGAGGCTCTCTACTTTTAAAGAGTAAAGACATGTAGCTCAACCTCCAGGGTTTCATAATGGAAGAAACACACACACACACACACACACACACACACACACACACACACACACACACACACTACCTTAGCGGGCAACATGACCAAGCTTGAGAAATTGCTGTTCCTGCACTTATTTTTTATAGAATGATTTTTCCTTCTTCCACTCCATTATACAAGTTTGAACCAAGCCTCCTTTCTCTCTGTCAGTGTGTGGAGATCAAAACGATTGCTTAATGAAGGGGAAATGTAATCATAACCCTTATTTATTCTTCAACAACAAAGTAGAGTGTGCATTACAGATACAGAAAACAGATAACACAATGGTAACACAGTGCTGAAATACTTAGTTAGTCGAAAGGTAGTCAACTACAGTTTTGATAATTGGTTCATATTTTAACCATCTGCTAATCCCAGCGAGGGATTACTGCTTTACTCTTCTTTTATACTATTGTAAATTTAATATCTTGGGGTTTTGGACTGTTGGTTTGACAAAGCAGGCAAATTGAAGATGTAATGTTGCGCTGTAGGACATTTTATACACTGAATGTTACAGGCTTGTGCTGATTGGCGATTGGATGTTATATCGACAATTGAAGGGATGATGGCAATTTTAGTTACTATCACAACTAAGATGTTATAAAAAATTATCTCTACATCTTTATCTACATCTTTTTGGTCCTGGTTTAAACTTATAGTTCCATTTCTTGACCCGTGCGAATGTGGCTTTGTCGTGCTGTGACATTACTCCACCACTCTCACCACCAGTGGAGATCAGTTCCCATATCTGCAATCTTGAGTAGCCACAATTGGACAGTATGGAAATTAAAAACGATTGCCCAACTCTGGAACAATCTCTGTTGTCCTTCCACACATCATATCTTTTCAACACACACACACACACACACACACACACACACACACACACACACACACACACACACACTCAGCAGAGATTTGTAGCAGCTTGTCTCCATGAAAGGCTTAGCTTTAAGTAGTCCTTACTGCGTGGGGAAATGGAAAACCTCAGCAAATAAGGGCTTTGATGCTAAGTCCTTTGGATGTCAAAAAGCAAATGTATTGTTGTAATGTTTGCCAAAAGATTATTCCACGTATTGTGTGAAGGGCGCTTGCTTGTATCCGCATTACACTGTGGGCATTTGGTTTGGTTCGGGACCACATAAAGCACATAAGCGGTGACCTTTCCATTAATCCATGCTTCCTTTTTTTGCATTGACTTCTTAATATGTGTGGTTAAGGCTTCTCCTTTTTTATGTAGGCTTGGGCAGAATAAATCCACAGTATCACCACATCAGCTAAACCAGCTTTTTCCCACCTTTAAGTTGTTTGTACCTCCCAACTTAACTTTCACCAGACGCATCAGCTTCACGCAGTGCGACACTTTGATTTAAGGGGTTCAGATTAAGGCCAGAATTCTGTGTTGACTGTTAGAAAGCAGAAATCCCAGAGGCTTACCGACGATTATCCCCTCTCTCTGTGTGATAAGGGGGTTTGAAGGGGTGTATTTAGACCTTGAGGCTGTACAGCACAGGTGAAATGTGGGCCAGAGCAGCTGCGTCTGTAATGGTGACAGCTGCTGGATTCCTCGGCTTCCTCAGCAAGAGCACGTACAAATTCACAGATAATTCACACCTATTAGAACTAGTCCAAATGATAGTCATTGTAGTGGGAGCAGAAGGAGTTTTTGCGATGGCAGTGGTAGTAATTACTGCACTCAATCCTATTTTTGAGCAAAAGTAGCAAAACATGAAGAAAACATCCTCCTTTATATAGAATTATTAATTCAATCTGACAGGCCCTCCTCACCCAGCCAGGTGTTTTCAGCCACTTGGGCAGATTAGACGTCCGGTTGCTCAGGTTGACGCTATGCAGGGATTATTTCAGGTCAGCTGACTCCATGTACCAATTATAGTGATAGAGGTGCCCCAAAGTGTTCATCCATCAACATATATAAAGATATATATAGAAGACATGACAGCTCTCCCAAAGTGAAGCCAAAACATATTAATCGCCCTCTGGTGGCTGACAAGTCCACTGCCTCCATGTTAGCAGATGGGACATGGGCCAAACAAAAAAAATCTAAATACACGTCAATTACATTTTTCCTAATGTTGGTTTCTGTCGTTTTAGGTAGATCTTATCATGCCGGTGTATGTTTAACTTTTCATTTTTCTGATAGAATAAGTTTTAATGAGTTATTTGAAGCTATAAAAAGAGGGTTTCATGATTGAAAGCTGAGTCCTGCTCGCGATTGTGTCGGCCGGGACTTTGATACCGTGGCACCAACCCCGATCACTACTGCGCAGACTCTGGCAGAAGATGGTAGCTGCCATATCTGGGATATCTTGGCTTCATTTCTCCTCCTGAGAGGACCTTTAATCAGCCAAATAATTAAAATGGTGTGTTTGTGTGTACAATGATGAATAGTAAATAGTACTATAAATAGATAAATAATAAAGTATTGATGTATAATATCAATAATATGTTTTGTTTAAATGTATTATAGTTAGGCCTGTGATTTATTTATGCTATTATATTCTATTGATTTATTATTTTAATTGATTGGAAAATTTGAATTGGCAGTTTTGACAATTTTGTAATATTTTATGTAAACAAAGTCAGAGGGGACGTCTTCAGATTGTTGGGTTTGTTTTATACTCCTAAATGTTTCAGCTTACAGTTATTTACATGTCAAACACAAAAGCAGCACATTTTCACATCTGAGAAACTGGAAACAAAGAAAAAGAAAAGAAAAAACTATTAATTGATTGTGACAATTTTACATTTATTTTCTGATGATAAAATAATATCAGCTCTGTTTGCAGCTATGCAACATACGCAAACCTACGTATGTTTTTCTGAACAGCGACCACAGTGACCACAAGTGACAATTTCAGTGTTACAGTGGAGAAGTTGAAGTGAGCATTGTTTGTTGTGCAGGGTTATTTGTTCTAAGTCCGCAAACATTAGCTACAATTATCCATCATAAGCTACTGGTCATACCAGACCAAACAAGGTTGCAATAGCAGAAAAAAATTGCACTAGTGTTGAATTTTTTATTCTTTCAAAAGTTACATATTTTCCCTTTAACGGTGATCCATAGCTTCTGAATGTATCTCTGTAATCTGCAAAGAAAACCTTCTGCAGTCTCACAAAAGTGCCAGTTGAGCTAAGATTTGTACAGTACCTAACTAATTTCACTTTCTGTCAAAGAGTGAGATGAGAAGAGGCAGGTGGAGAGCATTAGCAAATAGGGGTGTCAGACTCAAAATATTGTTGTTATTTTAAGACCATTTGTACCACTGTTAAAATGATGAGCATAATAATGCAAGCTCACCCTTTCAAAGAGAAATGCACTTTTAAGAATATTCAGACATTGGAATTGGAATGTGAAAGAAATACTAAAATATTCTTGATAAACAAAACATAAATAAAACCACACAACCAAAACAAAAAATAAAATGTAAAAAAGTCAGTATTGTGACAGGTGATAATAACGTATTGTATAGGTCTGACCGATATGGTAAAAAATAATCCTATTGTGATTATTTAGACAGATATTACGATTGCCATGTGATTCACAGTTATATTTTTGCATCACAAGTTTCATTTTCACTGAAAAAACTATGATTATTAACATTTGTTGGGGCCTGTACCAAGGGCATCTCTGCAGCATTACAGTACATTATAATGCTGTTCTGTCACAAATGTTACCTTAATCAAAAAACTGCTTGTCAGAAAAGCTTCTGCCATTTGGATATAGCACATGGCCATGTTGTGATTTCAGTAATATTTCAATGAATCATGCAGCCCTAATATCATATATATCGTACGATGAGTTAATTATGTTATTGTGGCAGGCCTAGTAGTAATAGAAGTATTGCAGTGTTAATGGAGGGAGTAGAAACAGGATTAGTAAAAGTAGTTTCATTAGCAACAGTAGCAGCTCCGGCATCCAGACGGATCCCCCTGCAGCTAGTGGAAAAAACGCTGAATAATAACATATGAATACACAGTGTAGGGTCATTAGTTATCCAGCGGCTAATACAGTCTGACAAGAAAATGCAAAGCAACATTAATCATTGGTATGAACACAGATGATGTTGGCTTTAACACGACAACAATGCCACAACAGCTGATGAATATCTTTGGCCCGGGCGCTGCAGAACAAGTTAATGAAACACTAAATAATGATGTGAGCTTCTGGAAAATTCTGGTCAGCAGAACTGAAGCCCAGCTGTGCCTGGAGTCACACTTAAACTGTCGGCTACCACCATATGTTCAGGGGGAAAGTTTCTTACATAAGCACCCAGTAGGGAGTTTTGGTGTGTCTGTCTGTCTGACTGGAGTCTTTAAGGCACAGGACAAATGTCAAAGTGTCTCCATTTTGTGGTGCATCGGAATGATGAAGTGCCTCTTTTAATGTCATGTGCCAGTGCAGGATCACTGGGACAACTTGTCTTTCTAGGTTTGTGTGTGTGTGTGTGTGTGTGTGTGTGTGTGTGTGTGTGTGTGTGTGTGTGTGTGTGTGTGTGTGTGTGTGTGTGTGTGTGTGTGTGTGTGTGTGTGTGTGTGTGTGTGTGTGTGTGTGTGTTAGTGCGCATGTATCTGTCTTTCTACCACTTGTTTGAGCGTGTGCAGTGTGTGTGTATGTATAACTGTGTAAAAAGAGTCTGTGTGTCACAGTTTTCTGCCTTTTAGATGTGATTGTTCACTTGTGTCTGTCTACTCTTGACAAATGTTTCTTGTGTGCGTGTGTATCAATCTTTGTGCATGCAGACATGTCTCAGGTTTTTTTTTTGTAAAAATGTGTGTGTTATTCTATGAATCAACATTGTGCATTGACGTACTCTATGTGTTGTTAGGGGTGGGTGATAGGTCCCTTAAATGATATCACAATATTTCAGGATATTTCTGCAATAATTCTATTATTATAATTAAATAGAACCCACAATTGGTTGCTTAAGTTTGTTGTATTTCCCCCTTTTTCTAGTCTAGTCTTCTTGCACTTCTTACATATAACCATGGTTTGTTGTACATCTGATCTTTTGAATCAAACACTACTGAAGTCGCTCCCCTTTTTGGAACTAACTCCTCCACCGTGATGCTAATAGCAATACTTTCGCTTTCAGCCATCACCATTATGGCCTCTAACCTCTAACCCCTTGGTCACAGGTCTACACAGGGGCAGGGAGGGGCAGCAGGGCAACTTCACCCTGGTGTGCCGCGACTCAGCCGGGGAGCAGATGGCACGAGGTGGAGAGCACGTCCTGGTCAGCATCGTCCACAAGGAGAAGAAAAGCTGGTGAGTGTCAGAGAGTCAGGCTGACGTTGTAAGAGGGAACAAGCAAGTTCAGCGAAGGCACCGACGGCTCTATTTCTGTGGTGGGTTTTATTCTCTCAGTAAGACAGATGTCATTAACAATCCATCAAGTTTTTCACCGTCTGCCAAACAGCTGCTCAGAGCGGGTCAACAGAGCACTCTGCACCTGTGTACTGATATTTTTGTCTCTTTGGACCTCTCCAAAATCACACAAACAACTTTTGCTTGTCTGTTTCAGACATTCTCCAACTGGAAAAGGTAGTTTTATTCAGTTAATGGCAAGGACAGGCAGACTCATATTTGATGTCTAATTCTTACCATCATCCCTTACTGCTTGATTCCACCAGGCCCAGCTGCGACATGGCTGTCGGACCTGATCACAGCCGTTCTAGACAATGCTTGTGATTCCACCAGACGCGCTGAAGCACGTTTCAGAAGCGACTCTCCGCTGTGTTCTGCTGTTTTTGACAGAAGCTGTGACCAACCAGCAGCACAGAGCAGATTGCTCAGACGGGAAGTTAGACATAGAAACAGCAGAGAGAATCCAGTCAGTTTTCAATATAAAACACCCGGTGCAGACTCCTGATCATAAAAAAAGACAAAAAAGGAAGCAATTTAACTACGCAGCCTACTTAGCCATGGTAGAAGCACATGAAAAGAAAGGGAAAATGAGCAATTTGAGCAAGTTACCAAACTTAGGCAGGCAAAATGCTCCTCTTCATCATCAGTCCCTGGTGGAATCAATATCCACTTACTGCCACATGAAGGCACGTGTGTGTTTCATCAACAGTCAGTGAATTTGAGTGGCGTGCAGTTTCTCACACTTGAACAGCAGTGTTGGAGACGGTGACAATGTGATGATGTGTGAAATACCCTGATGTGGTGGAGCGGAATCACAATTGGTCAAACGACTGTGTTTCAGAACTTTAATTGCTGTGCAGAGATCAAGAGGTTATCAGAACGTTTCCTGTGACAGTGAAGTTAAAAGGAATTGGGTTTTGATCTGCAGTTGTTTGTCTGAGAAGAATTTAGCCAAAGTCTGGAAGACAAATCACCCTCCAGTGAAGAATCAGCTGGTTCACAATCAAATATTGGCGATGATTTAAATACAAACTTTACTTTCTGTTACAGAACTGGTTACCAGTTGTGTATTCTCAGAGAGTATTAACAGGATGATTTCTGTTCTTCTCCTTCAGCACAGTGGAGACGGCAGTGGTTGACAACAGCGATGGATCCTACAGCGTTTCATACACACCTAAAGAGCCAGGAGCCTTCTCAGTGTGGGTCTGTGTCAAAGCCCAGCACGTCAAGGTACAAAACCAACATGCAACAACATATAGGAACGCAGAGAAGGTTAAAATAGTTAAATATAAAGTTGGACTGAGTGTTGCCAGCAGCTCAGAGTGTACCCAGGGCTGCTAACATCATCCTGACAAATTAAATCAATGTGGGAAAAATTATCCTCAGACAAAAACAAATTAGTTCTGATGATAAATGTACCTAGTGGGATGCTTGGAAAATGAAAACACCCTGAGTTGTCAGAATGTGGTCACTTTTCTCTCTTTATTTAACTTTGGCTTTTGTCGACCTAGACATACTGACTGACTGACTCTTTCCTGTCTGGCTCCACAGGGCTCTCCGTTTATTCTCAACGTGCAGAGGAAGCTGAGGCATCACAGTGGGACGTTTCACTGTTGCTCCTTCTGCTCCAGCGGAGGAGCCAAAGAGGCTCGCTGTGGCTGCCCAGGAACCATGCCAGGTACACGGAAGAGATCGTTAAAATGTCTGGTCAGAAGCACAGTTTTCATTCAGTATTTCACAGTGAACAAAGACATTAAAAATGGTACACATTGTTTTCAAGTTGGACATGGAGAAGGAACAGATGGAGGAACAGTTTGGAACCAGGGCTCTTACTGCATTATTACTCCATCGTCTGTGCCTTTTGAGTGGAATGACTTCTGTTTTTGAGAGAAACATGTTTTGTTATTATACAATAATCTGATCTCTTTACTGTCCATGTGCAGTCGTATGTAGGTTCATCTTATTTATACAAACAGAGATGGTTAAAGGTCCAGTGTGTAATGTTTGGGAGGATCTTTTTGCAGAAATTGAATATTCATTCAAGTATTTGTTTATTACACAGATGCCCTTTTAAGATGCAATTAGAAAAAAGTGAATCATGCCACCACAGAAAAGTTGTATTTTGATGTGCAGTTTTCTCAATAAGAAAGTCTTATTGTCAGCATTGCAAATGTAAATGGATATATAAGACTTTTACACATCTGTACATTCTGTCATTGGGACTTTTTACACGTTATATGTCTTGTTTAATATGTATGTTTTGCTGTGTGTGGATGGAGAGAAAAGATAGCTGTTACCTTAGTGGCGCTTAATGTGGATCCAGGAATAAAAAATAAACATCGGTTCTCTCTCCATCTAAACCCAGAATGTCCACAAAAGCAAAAGAGTGAGGGTTAAGGGAAAGGGAAAGATGAATTTAAATATAAATTGCAAAAGTCTTCAGGGATTGAGGATGATATGCAACACTGTAAGAATATCTGAAAGAAATATTTCCCTTTAGGTGTAATCAGGCAACTGTGGAGTTCTCTGCTCACATCTGCCCTCATTTTGCTACCTGTCCACCAACAATAGAACAATAGTCTTGCAACACTAATGAGAGAAATACGTGGTATGTGTTCCTGTGCAGTGCTGTGTATTGGATAAGAGGTCCTATAAAACAGTGTAATACATATATGAGCTGTACTTCCAGGAGAGTTGAGTATATCAAGATGATGATCTGTCTTTTTGTGTGTTTCCTTATATGCTGACTATATATAATATACTGTGTATATATATAATTCACTAGACTATATATAGTACTATATACTGACTTCACTTATGACTTAAAAACCCCAGAGTTGTCGCTGATCTCTTCCTGTCTGTCTGCAGGAGGATTCAAAGGTTGCGGCCACAGTCATAAAGGACACCCCGGGAAGCCCCACTGGTCTTGTTGCGGCAGCACCGTGGAGCAGTCGGAGTGTTTGCCTCAGAGCGTGCTGGCTGCAGTTTCCCCCCGCGGCCACCTGCGAACTGTGGAGCTGTGAGGTGACACAGAGACAAGACGTGTCAGGATGATGCAGGTTAATAAAGGATGGCAGCAACAGAAAGGTTAGAGCAGCTGGGGGAGTGAGCTCAGGGTTGGTTGCTGTAAATCCTGTGCAGACCTGACAAGGAAAGTGAAACTCTAAAGACACAGAGACTGAAGCAGGACAGCAGAGTGGCTGTCTCGCATCTGCCAGTGCCTAGTTGTGAAACAGCAGCTGGGCTACCATTAGAGACTAACATATAAGACCAACACAGTGTGATGTTATAAAGTGCCTTATTGGTCTAAGTTCTGCCTACCTGTGACAAGATAGAGGAGAAGGAAAATGTCTCCTCCTACATCAGATGTGTTAAAGGGACCTTATTTTCCCATGTTTTTGTATCAAAGTGACTAATGGAGACAGTAAGTTTTGAATTTGGTCCAGTGTTTAGTGAGAGTGGTTGAACTGGCTACAGCATAATGCAAATTGGCACCATCAATGTACAGAGCCAACGTTTGAGCCGTTCATTAGTCTTCCTGCAATAGTCCTTACTTCTCCCGAGATTTCAGAATGAGACTTTTCCTTGAGCAAGACTTGACAGAAAAAGTTAGATTTCTCTGTAAGGTTTTGTTGTGAGACACTTATATTAACAATCTCAGCCGTCAGTTACAACAACTAGCACTTTTAATGGAGTATTTTTCAATGATTACGCTGTAGCCTGTTTGGCGGCTACAAGCTGCAGCGCTCACCCTCAACACTGAACCAAATCCAAACCTGGACACGACTTTGACTCAAAAACATGGGAAAATAATGTCCAGGATGAAAAATACCAATGTTACCCTTTAACAGCCCTGCTGAAGAGCACCTTAGGCAACAGAGATTTCCTTTCTCCATTGTTACACTTTTCTTTCACCAGCCATCTCCCGGTCTCAAGCAACCTCGAAGCTGCTGCCGATTTCAAAGGTGCTGGAATCCGTGCTGTATATTTCAAACGTAAGACTGCTGCTGAACTCTAATACTTTTGTATCTTTTATATCCTTCAGTCAAATATCTTTTGAAATATAGTGCCTCAAAAACAATAGTGATGCTCAAAGTTATGAAGCACAATTCTTATCGATCCGCACTGATCACTGTTGTTTCAAAGTATACAAAGGGCTGTGATCCCCACAACCCATCAGGTCTATAGTCAGCATTAACATTCTCATCAGTGATGGTTTTATTTTGGATGGTACAGTACAGTAATACCAGTAATCAAGTCAGTATTGGTATGAAATATTTGAATAAATCTAATTGTTTGCTATTGAGAAATTACACAGTAATGGTACAGTTAAAAACAAATATCTGAGTATCTAGAAATAAATGTAGTATTAACTGTTATTTCATGATACTTATGATGATTATTATTATTTAGTTATTTGCTTGTACACATACTTACCAAACTGGGTGAGTTATGGGTTGATGGGGATATTTTACCAATAAATACAAAGTAATCACTGTACTATTATTACTGATTATTTCTTTATGCTCACTTCAGGTATTACTATTACTATTTTGGAACAGTTATCACGGCATATTCACTTGTACAAACTGTGTAATCATTGTGTGTGTTATGTAGAAGTAGAATAACAGGTACTTACTTTTTTACTTGTAACAATTACTGACCAAAGATTGCCATTAACTAATAAATAATACTATATATATACTGCACCTAATATAATATTAGTTTATAATACTATGAACTACAGGTACAGTACCTAGTAAATATAATGCAATGAATTTATTCTATTGATGAGCTGAGTACACTGTTTGTGAAGACTACTGTTTCTATTGTCTTATTCAGGATAAGTGACCTGAATCAAACCAGAAGCACTGAGCTGGAGTACACTGTGCCTGTGAATTCACCCAGGACTGTTCTTGAGACTGTTGAGAATGTGAAACATATTCTAGTTTCTTGTAAACCACAACGTTTGGCCCTTGCTCTGTGCGTACAAATAAATCCTCAATGCTCCTTATTGTTCTTAATGAGGAGAAAGTCCATGAAATCTGCACAGAATCATGTTTTTCCTTCATTAGCAACCCAACTCCACGTGCTTTGTGGGGAGTGGGGCTTTATCTGGGAAACACTGTGACCTAGAAGGTGCAGTCAGTCTCCTCTTAGAATACAAAGTTATTCCACCCCAGAGGCTGCACCACAGCTTTGACTTAAAACCACAAACGTGGAACTCATAATGAACCACATAATACCTCTGTGTATTCTCTGTTTTCTGAATATGAGTCTTGAGTGTGAGTGTAGTATTTTTTATCACATACAATGTGCAGGTTTCAAAGATGGATTGTAATACTGACCTATGCAAATACTTGACATGAGGACTAATCTTTTTTATTTGTGGTCTAGGATCTTCAGAATGACAGGAAACACTGTGCATGTTGCTGCTGTTCACACTGTGTTGGAGTATTACCCAGTACATTTAAGCCTGTACAATCAAAATAAACACACACTTTTTCCTCAGTATTTGCTTTTATGCCCTTCTAAAATAACACCAAGTGAACAAAAAATCCACCAAAGACTTTTTCCTCACTTTAAAAAAGAGTTTTTTATTTGTGTCTGCAGACACGACCATCTATTGATATTCGAGCACAGGGCAACAACATGAGGACAAGACCAAGACACATGCACATTAGCTCTGAGAAACAGCTGTCCTGTTGGAAGGATCTTTGAAATTGAAAATAGTAAGAATGAAAAATCCAAATCAACCAATACACCTGCCTTCTATTGTAAATCCGTGCATTTCTTCCCAGAAGAAAAATGTATATGGATAAATAATAATTAAATCACATTATGGAATTTTTTTGATTTTTGAGCGACTTCATAAAAATACTGCAGGCAAGGAAAGAGCAGACAGATACAGCCTGTATGTGTCTCTCCCTGCATGGTACTGCGAGAGAGAAGCTGGGTGAGAGACAAAGGAGAGACGAGGGTTTAAGTGTGTGTGCGAATATCTGAATCCCAAAATGAACCACCAAATGCCTACCAAACAAACGAATAGTGAATATCAACTTTGGAGAGATTTTAGTGACTTCTGTAAATCAAACTGAAACTGTAAAAGTGAGGAGGACAAAAATAGCATTTTAAAAAGCCTTTTAGTAGTAATTACACCCTGACACCATGAAGCCTTCAGCATTAGATATAATGTAGCTAATTCATAGTGATTCATAGTGATTTGCAGTGGTGGAAAGTAACTGAGTACATTTGCGTAAATATAGTACCTTTTACTTTACAGCATTTATTTGACAGCTGGAGTTAGTTTTCAGTTACAGATTTTACATTAGAATCATCTGGTAAATTAACACATTGTTAAAGATTAAACCAGATGTTTTCAACCTTTTCAGTTTGTGACGTCTTTGTTAGCACCTCCACCAAACTGCTCAGATATTTTCATTCAAATAATTGTTCAAGGCTTAAAGAGGTTAAAAAAAAAAGAGTACTTTTACTCTTGATACTTTAACTACATTTACCTGATAATAGGTATGTACTTTTCCTTGAGTAGCAATTTGAATGCAATACCTTTACTTGTAGTGTATTTTCACACTGTTGCATTGGTTTACACAAGTAAAGGATCTGAATCTTGAATGAAACGCTTCATGAGAGCTTTTTGCACTTCATTGAGCTTGATAATCCCTCTCTGAGCCACCAGGTGGCAGGAGAGAGCCACTTTTCCTCAGCCCACTCTTCCAGAACTAATGATCACGATCCGCCTGTGACATTAGTTTTTCCGTGCTTGTTCCTACAAATCATTCATAATCAGCGTTCTCAAAAGCTGTTTTTACCGCAGCCATTCCCAGCTAAGAGGCTGCTGATGAATACTGCATTATCATGAAAAATGTCTTAAGCGCTTTAAGATTGACTCTCTTAATATGAATGTTTGATGAATGGGGACCTGTTCCACTAAAAGCCACCACACAGGAAGTTCCATCAGCAGGTGACACTGCTTAATCAAACACAGTAATTGTTCACTTACAGCAAATTGAAAGTGAGTGATTAACTGATGACCATTCAAATGGCAGTCAGCGCTGGGAGGAGAGGGGTCGCAACCGGAAATTGGAGGTCACTGCGGGCAAAGACACACACCTGCACACCTACACACACACACACACAAACACCTCCATTAGGTGAGGGCAGGTGTGAGTTGAAGATGATTGAGTGGTTTAGAACCTGCTTCTTTCATTGATTTCTCACTTCCTTCACTCCCTCGCTTCTTTCAGTGAAGTCAATCCACTAGGAACTAAGCCCGCCAACACACACACACACACACACACACACACACACATTAGATTGAACAATGACAGTGCACTGCACATGGCAGGATGCTCACCGCGGCTGTGAACCCAGGAGAGGAGGACTTCTGCCAGACCTCATAAAAATCCTTTACCCGCCATTGAGCTCTCGACTAATGTAGCTTGTAATTGAGAGAACCAACGATCATGATACAATATTGTCTCACAGGCGAGAGACATCTTTTCTTATGTTTAATCTTTTACATTTGGTGCTTTTTATGTTTTCATGGTTTGCCTGTTATGCTGATCCACAGGGAGTTATGGAAAGTTCAGCTGCAGAAGAGGGTCGGTTTGGCTTTCATCATCCTGACAGGCAACCAAGAGGAAGGAGTGCAAGGATACAAACCATGTGACAACATCTAATTCTAATCATCATCATTATAATACCTTACAATATAGTGATGTATGAAATATATATAACTGTTTACACAGTATATAAAAACCCACACAATCTTATATATTATCAGACCCAACAACTTAAATAAGTAACAAAACAGCAAACAATTTACTTAAAAATAAATAAAGAGTAAAAAATTAACAAAAATAAAAAATACTTATTTTTACTTACAAATTATTAATACATTTTGAATGGAATAACATTTATAGCCCCTCAAGATAATAAAAAGATAAATTGATTTCCTACACAAAACAATCCTTAAACAACATTTAAAAAGAGAGGTAGGGAAGATTTCCTGAGGCGGGCGAACAATCTGTTACAGTAGTCCAGCTGTGATGTGACTTTTTGCAATGTTCTTTTTTGGACCTGATGCTCACTAATTCATCTGGGACCAGTTTTTACGCTGACTTTCAATGTTTGATTCATTTAAGATTTAAAGCACATGTGTTAATTATCTACAGCCAGTGTTTGGTTTGTTCGTTCTGGGCTACTGTAGAAAAATGGTGGTTCAGCATGGCGGACTCTGTAAAGGAAGGACCAACTCCCTCTGTAGATAAAAACAGCTCATTCTAAGTTGATCAAAACACAACTATTGTTATGTTCAGGTGATTATACACAGACATATATTATCATATTCGATTTCTGCCAATAGAGACTCTTAAATGTTACACACTCGACCGATGCATGACACATCTTTGCTTCCATACTGGTTTATGATGATGAAAGTGAGACTTTGTGTTTTTTCTCTCTCTGTTTTGATTTTTTTGTTGAGTTCACTTGTTGATGATGTCACTGATTGCAGACACAGGTAGTGTATGTTTATTCAACTTAAAGCTGATACCTATGGAAAACTTCCCTTTAAAAAGACCAAAAGTGGTCAAAATCTCAAATTCTCAAAAATCTAACTGGGAAAAGACCAAATGCATACACAGAGAAGAACAGAAAGAGTAATAAACTCCGTAGACAGCAGACATGCAGGTATGACCTACCACAGCATTATGTCACTTCAAAGCCAGTGTTGTGACAGCACCTGACATCCTTCTGTGAGAGACACTTTATCTCTGGGCTGCAAGGGAGCGACACTGGCTTCCATCATTGTCAAGACAGGACGCGCACACACACACACACACACACACATCCACACTGTACACTGAAGGTCACCTGAAGTGCACTCTGGGAAAGGCCGCTTTAAGAAGAATATGAACACGCTGTTACAGAATTCCCTGTTGGAGAGTCCCTGTGTGTTGAGTTGTGAATAATTCATCTTGATTTGTTAAAATTAGTGTGGTGTCAATTATTCATAGGCATCACAGAATACAGTTTCCGGAGCAAGTTATGTAACAAATGAACACTTGAGACTTGTTTATCAAAAGCAATGAACAAAGGAAATATAACACAGGCCTCAATACTGCTGACACAGGAATATTAAAAAAACCACATCTTCAGAATATATACAGTATATATACAGTTGAAACCAGAAGTTTACATACACTGTATAAAAAGACACATATGCTTTTTTTTCTCACTGTCTGACATGAAATCAGACAATCACTTTTCCTGTTTTAGGTCCGTTAGGATTACCAAAATTATTTCTATTTGCTAAATGCCAGAAAAATGAGGGAAGGATTTTTTTTAGACAATTTTGTATTACTTTCTTCAAGGTCAGAAGTTTACATACACTAAGATTACTATGCCTTTTAACAATTTGGGAAAGCCCAGATGATGATGTCATGTCTTTGGAAGCTTCTGATTGATATACATTTTTTTTATTTATTATTATTTATTTATTGACAACATTTGAGTTAATTAGAGACACACCTGTGGATGTATTTTAAGGCACACCTGAAACGCACTGCTTCTTTGTGTAACATCATGGGAAAGTCAAAAGAAATCAGCCAAGATATCAGGAAGAGAATTGTGGACTTGCACAACTCTGGTTCATCCTTGGGTGCAATTTCCAGATGCCTGAAGGTGACACGTTCATCTGTTCAAACAATTATACGCAAGTATAAACACCATGGGAATGTCCAGCCATCATACCGCTCAGGAAGGAGACGGGTTCTGTGTCCCAGAGTTGAACGTGCTTTGGTCTGAAATGTGCATATCAACCCAAGAACAAAAGCAAAAGACCTTGTGAAGATGCTGGCTGAAGCTGGTAAGAGTGTGTCATTATCCACAGTGAAACGAGTACTGTGCCGACATGGGCTGAAAGGCCACTCTGCCAGGAAGAAGTCATTACTCCAAAAGAAACATAAAAAAGCCAGATTACAGTTTGCAAATGCACACAGGGACAAAGACTTTAATTTTTGGAGACATGTCCTGTGGTCTGACGAAACTAAAATCGAACTGTTGGGCCATAATGACCATCGTTACGTTTGGAGGAAAAAGGGGGAAGCTTGCAAGCCTGAGAACACCGTCCCAACTGTGAAATACGGGGGTGGCAGCATCATGTTGTGGGGTTGTTTTGCTGCAGGAGGGACTGGTGCACTTCACAAAATAGATGGCATCATGAGGAAAGAACATTATATGGAAATACTGAAGCAACATATCAAGACATCAGCCAGGAAGTTAAAGCTTGGGCGCAAATGGGTCTTCCAGATGGACAATGACCCGAAGCATACTGCCAAACTGGTTACAAAGTGGCTTAAGGACAACAAAGTCAATGTTTTGGAGTGGACATCACAAAGCCCTGATCTCAATCCTATTGAACATTTATGGGCAGAGCTGAAATGGCATGTGCGAGCAAGGCGGCCTGCAAACTTGGCTCAGTTACACCA